CAACCCGATAAAACACTGGTAAGAGAAAAGTCCTGCGGGATACTACTGTTTGGATTAAGCGATTTTTCAACAAACGAAAAGATTAACGAGGTAAAAAGAAAATGATTGCGATAGAAAAGAAAAAATAAACGGGGATTGATAAAACTTTAAATGTCTTTTATGCCCAAGCAGAAATTTATTACAAAGAAAAAGGAACTAAGTCAAATGGAGACGATTTTCATGTGCGTCTGTGGACAGGTATGGGAATACGACTTCCAGATACGCCTCGTAATGTCGGAGTAGGCAAACGGGAATCACCGTTGCGGACCTTAAAAAAACTAGATTTCTAAAGTCACTTCAAATTCTCAGTGAGACCTCAACAAAATAACCGATCTGTGAATGAGACTGACAGAATAAATTTGTTCGTCGTCAAACTTTTTATGAAACTATCATGAAATTCAGTCTCACCAAACAAAATGGTAAGGATGAGAAAGTAAAAAACATGCTATGCATTTAAGCCAAACTTGTGACTACTTGCATGCGACAAAAGCCAACCTAAGAATGAATTAAATGGGACAGTTTAATGGCTAGTTTCGCTCCGAAATTTAGCACCTAGTATAATATGCCACCAAGAGGAAAAATGCTGCACCCTAATCAACACAAAATCACTGACCGATGGAAATATAAAGTTGGTTGTATCAGACTGCTTCATTTCACGACTAATAGAGTGTAATGGAATTGATTCTTCTGCAGTTGCAGCCTCTAAAGTTGATAAAACGAGAAAACGGAAGTATTTCCAATCGAAAGGTGTAAAAACAAGCAGCTCATAGTTTGATCTTACCAAAATCTGGACACTGTTCACTTGGTCCTTCTTCCTTTTCCACAGTATACGTCTCGTTTTTCAGGAGTGAATTGTCGGGATCACTAGAACTGTGTGATATAATGTCCATTTCTTCTGCAGCATCAAAAAACACATCTCTTTCATTTGAACTGTTCTGTTTAAGATTCCTTATTACATCAGTTCCCGCTGCAATAATTCCACGAACATCAAATAGTGATGGTGAATCGAACAAAAAGTATGCTATAAAAATTAAAGAATTCTGTTTCACCTACAGAAAAACAATACAGTGAAACGTGAAGCATCAAAATATATATTACTAGTGGGATATATATGTAATAAGTTGAAATACTAGAATATTTTACAATTAGCTTCTGCTGTAGCGTGAAGCGATTTTGAGGATACTATCCTTAATAATTTCTCACATTTTACTTCTACTGAAGCAGTTGAAACTGCAGAACGCACTGACTGAATTCTACCTGCAGGCACCATCGCACTGTTAAACTTTGACTTTGAAATCACAGTACGACAAGGCATCTTTTTCGTGATCGTAATATTACATTTTGAGCCCTAGAAAAACAAGTTTTAAAATCTGAATCAGCACGAAAGTATGTGCCTAGTAAAGACTGGTAAAGAAAACATGTTAGATTGATAAAGGAAACATTGGTAAAACTTTTAAAAATATAATTATTTTATCAAGTTTCCTCGCTACTAGCTGATATATCGTCCATGTTAGGAAGCTAAGCTTCATTAAAATTCTTTTTTTTGACAGTCATTGCTTTGTTGAATGCCTCCTTGAAAAAAAAAAAACCGGTGTACTAGAACGTACACCGCATTATGCTAAAATGTGAAATGACTTAGAACAACTCCTTCATTGTTCCTCTCAAAAACGATAGTTTTCATATATACATGAAAAAATTGATTATGTGTGGACAAAATTCCATCTAAACAACAGAAAATACAAAATGAATACATTTATCAGAGCCTCCGCAATTATTTTTCATAGATATTTAATGATTTTTCATTTAATGATTTACTTAATCAAAAACTTATACATTAATAGCATAAAGAATGGATGATAAATATTTTAATTTATTTCAGCAGAAGAGAAATAGCTAATATTGATTTAACAATTAATAAGTATGAAAAGATCAGTGAGGAAATCGGAAGTTTGAGAAACACGAAGCACGGAGAGGAAATATTTAGCAGAAACAAGTCAATATTACATCAAAGAAAACCCTCAACGTTTTAATTGGTGAGAGTTCAGTCTTGGAATACTTGCAAAAAAAATGATGTCTAATCAAGTGACAATACTGACCACACTTACCTTCATCCTCGCACCAGCACTAGGTGCTTTGTAGCTTCCGACTTTTCCAGCAGCTATTATTGATTTCGTTTTCTGATGTAATTTCAAAATTGGAGCAGAAGCATTAAGTCCAAATTTTCGTATTAGATTTTCAGAGTTCTCGCGAACCTAAAAACTTTTTAAAAAATCATGGGCTCAAGAAATGGTCAAAGCTAAATTCCATCTCCTAGGCAAAAACTCTTCTTGAGTCATTCGAAAACTTGGGAATGCTTTGAAGAAATCCAACATGATAATAACTGGATTCAGTAAAATAATTACGAAAACCTTTGCCGATTTATTATCATCTTGCATAATTTCACTACAGCAGTTATTCACAACATTTTCGCCAGCAATCCTCATGATAGCTCCAACTGCTAAAAGCGACGCTTCACGACTTTCTGGATCGGCATCAAAGGACAGCTTAAATAAAACAAATTCTGGTTTAATCTTATTAATTTTCGAGCTTCAGCATTAGTAAAGCTGATGATTGCCTTGACACAGAGATCAAATACGTAACTATAGTTCTTGTGAATGACCATATTTAATAGACGATTAAGACTTGCCGCAGATCAGTTCGTTCCGGATGTAGCAATTTCCATCATTGTCACTAGTCACAATTCTATGCAACATATTTATGTCTCACCAATCTTCGTTTTTCTTTATTAATAAAACAAAAAATCGCCTTAAAAATTACCTTAGTAAGTGCTGGTCCAAGCCTCTGCCTTACACAGTCCAATGGTAAAGTATGCACATTGTGCTGACACAGTAATCTTGAGAGGAAGAGAGCAGTTTGTGTCTTTACTTGCGGATTTGGTTTTTGCAGTGCAACCTCCACAGCCTCGATGTATGCAGAAAGAGGAGTCTAAGAATTTCTTTAAATAGAAAATATATTTCTAAGAAATATTTACTAATTAATCTCTCACAATAACTTTAACTTCTCCAACTACGCGCTACACGACAAACTCTTCAAATATTAATGAAATTCAACTCACAAGTAAAGCAAGAATATCACAAAGTTCAATTAACGGCTCACGAAGAATTAATTTCTTTTCCTTGAATTTTTCGAAAACAGAAATATAAATCTGAAATGATAATACAAACAGCAGCGCAGTAAATAAATATTTCAAGAATTAGAGGAAATGAGTCAGAAAATTTATTGCTAGAACCGTAATATTTGAAAATTTTCCGGCCGATTAAAGCAAATATTATTTTATTCCAGAAATAACTTAATGCTCCTTAGCACATTGATTGGTGGATTTGTCAAATAAAGAAAACTTACTTTTGGTATGAATGTGGCAAATCTATAACGCAAACCATTCGCAAAACCTGCTATACACTTTACTGCAATTGCAGCTACATTAATATTCACATCTTTCTCGAGTATCTGAAACAGCAAACAGTGACGAAAAATATGGACGAATTCGGTTTATATAAGGAATGGAATTTTGAAAACATTACTTTATGCAGGATTTCAATCAATTCCGAATGATCTTCATCAGGAGAAAGTCGCGGATTGCTCTCCAAAATACCGCACAATATCTATAAATTTCAAACAGTGCAATAATTTTTAGTCCAAGCTAAATTCCACATCAGTAGTCCGTTTAAAGGATATTCTCTTCCTTATGGTAATATGAAGTTTTAAAATCTACCGCCAATGTTTCTTTTCTATCGTTCCAGTGCTTTGAGGCCAACTTTGTCTGTATATCGCGTGGAATTTTATCACTGATTTTCGTTTCAGTCAGTAATTCCCAAGAGCTAATTGTTGCGTCGGACTGGATTAAACCATCAACTGATTCTCCATAATATTCCTAAATTTCCAAACAGATATAAAACTTGCTTTCTGCGCAATCCCTAAGCTGACATTGAAGAGGTAATCTGAAACTGCTGAGACCGCAATCCAGAACTGATGGTTACAGCAGTAGCATTAGAGCAATGTGCTTCTTGCTGCCAACCATAACGAAAAATGACAAAAAAGACATAGATTAGTAACTGGTATAATTTCCCCTATCTTGTGCATATATCACTTTGCCGAAAATAAAGGAAACAAAATTTACAATCTTTTTATCAGTTAAAAATGAACCATATTTCCGCTTTGCGTACAAGATTCCAAAGCGATATCTCTTCCGATTCGTGCTTGCTCATACGCTTCAAAATCTTTCTGAGCTTTTCCAGAGTATTCAATAATCTTCCTTGATTTAGTTTTGTCACAGAATACTTCATTAGCGATAGAAGCCGTTACTTTTTCTTCAACTAATCGTAAAATAGCACCAAAAACCATGCAGCTTCGCTCACGGACGTTCGGATCACTATCTTTGCTGTGCTGAAAAAAACTCAATGTATAACTTTAACAATTCAAAAGGAAGTAAGGAAGTATTATTTTTGCTTGGTAAGCAATAAATAGCCAATGTCTCTATATCAGTAAATGTCGCAAATGTCCCTACAGCAATGTAAGCAGTGTCCTCATAGCAATGAAGATGAGATAAAACAAGGTAAAACAAAACAAAAAAAAATTTACTTTAACAAGATATGGTGTAACACTTCTGATAAACGCTATAGGGACAGCAGTTCGTGAATATTGGCATAAGATGCAATAAATCCACTGGTCTATACTTGCTTTTACATTGGGATTTGTGGCTTTTTCTAAAGCTTCACATATGGGACCAGTAAGAGACGCGGCATCACACTGAAAAAAAGTAAGTAAGGTAGCCGAAATAACTGACTAGGAAACTATTACATTATAATTTCTGAGTAACCATGTAAACATACATGTTCAGCGACAAGTGATAAGCAGTCCACAATAGCTTCTTTAACTGCAGCCTTCTTTTCTTTAAATTTCTCTAATATATTCAAGAGAACCTGTAATGAGTATTTTGATTCTTGATAATTCTACTTAACGCTCACATAATTTACAATTATTTATAGTTCTGTTAAAACATTGTTAGTTAAAAAATACGTGCCATAGGAATGTATTTCACGAAATTTTTGCGTAACCTCTTGACGAATTCTGTTAGTGTTCGCAGTGCCAATGTTACAACGGCAATATTTGAATCCTTTGATATGATCTGAAAAGAAACTTGCCCTAAGTGAAAATAAAAAAAAAGTCATCTGACCATCAATAATTATCATCAATAATCAATTATCATCACCCACATAATGAATGATGTTGCACTCCCTTCAACAAAGACTTATAAGCAATAATTATCATTCATATTAAGATTAATGCTCGAGTGTTTTCCAATACCTAAAGTCGCTATTTTCTATCTTTTCCATGTAAAGTGTGGAAATGATGTAAAATCATAAAATCTCGCTTCAAATTTAAAAATTAATTTGGAATACTTCAACTTCATCCCCTATGAAAGCGGAATATTTTTTTTTTTTCAATTACTTTATTAACTGCTGCTGGAAAGCTAATCAACGAAAAAGCCATTCATGTAAAACTTAAAGTACCAAGCATATTTCGATATTAAAGTCAGTGAGCAATAAATGTCCTACAACTTCATTTATTATGCGACCAATAACTGAATTTTCGTCTAAATGCGGGAACGAAATGGTCTGAACAAGAATCAGACACCAACCAATTTTAATTCGATAAGAATTTCATTGTATTTTATTTTGGGATCAATGCGTGGATACTGCGATAAATTATCAATCAATGCTAACAGCACATCTCGTCTTTCGGTCCAATTCGCTGATCGAATAGTTCCGAAGAAGCCAGGAGGCAAATGATCTGTTATATCCACTTCATCCATTTCTTTTACCTTTAATGTGATTTGATTACCAATATTCATTATTAATAAGCATCACTGTCAACCACATGATGACTAACATTAGACTTTTTTTACTGACAGCTGCTAAGCATTAACTATCACTCATATGACTCTTTTTTAGTACCCAAAATCACTATTCCCTATCTGCGGTCATAAACAGTAAGTCTTACAAGTAACAAGTCTTGGTGCAAACAAGGCCAATTCGCCCACTTGGTGACAGAGTACCATAACTTAATGTTCCCTCTATTCCCTAACTCTGGCTCGTTCACACACACACCTTCACACCTGGTGAATTCTTGCGCAACGCTATCTCGCTTCCTCTCATTCCCTACCGCAATAGCTTAATGCAACTATCTAATCATTTCCTTAACCTATCGCTATGCCACTCTTGCTTACTTTCTCATATCTTTGCCGTCTCTGGACGCTATATATCTTCCTCACACTTTGGATCTTTGACATATTTCTTTTATTATTTTTGTAGCCGGATCTATTTTCCAGTATTACTCATGCAATATACCAGTAACGAATAAGTGACTCACAGTGCATCTAGGAGATCACTTACAAGTCCGATAGATGGTATAGCAAGGATTGCAAAGAGACGTCTCTGAGGTACAATAGACTGGTATGACGGTTCATATTCAGTTAAATAAATGATTACTGCTGGTTGTCAGGACAGCTTGACACGATCTAATGAGGACAGGTAGAGTGACAGTAATTAATCATTTCCACTTCAGTGCCTATTCAGAACATAACTTTTTTAGCGCTGTTGTTGAAGATGTCAGTTCCTTGTTTAGAACTTTCTCCATCATTGTGAGCATATTTCCTTTCAGATATTTGCATTCAAATAAAAGAAGTAAGCGACGAAGAGTGGATGATGTGTATGTAAGTCAAGTAAAAATTATTGAAAAGCGAACGGGAACGGAACACGTATCATGCATGTCTTGGCGATTCCATGATTCTTCTTCCCTTCCTCTACGTCATCCTGCCACATCTCTTCCCACTCCTTTTCAATTTGCGCCACCTATCTTCCAGCTGCAAGAAATCTGCCATCACAGTACATATTGTTTATAATATTTGATCACAAAAATATTTATCGTACGATAAATTTTCCCTTCCAATCCTTATTTGCATACGAGGTCAGATTTATAAATGGTGAATTCTTAACTGTATTTGTTATCATCATCAGAACGCATAATAAACCTCTGAGTGATCCCGGGACTGAAATGGTTGTATATTGTTGGTACAACTTCAAATGATAGTGTAATTACACGTCAGACACGTTCCAGTTCAGCTTTCAGATGGAAATACACAATTCACATTCATAGTCAGTTGTTCATTCATATGCTTTAGTCCAACTGTCACTTAGGTCTTCGGCATTTTGAGTAGGTTGTTATTAATTGATCAGCTTGCAGGAATATCTTCTTTCCTGTCCGGAACTTCGAAGAATATGTCTCGTTGTGCTTCGATATTGTTTGTCTATCATTACATTGACATAAACCCTGCACTTTTCATCAGTTGAGGATATGACCCGAAGTGATGATTTTAATTTCAAACTGCAAAAAACGCCACAACCAAAGGAAGTAATTCAGAAAGAAGCCCTTTTAAAAACAATCCTGTCATTTTTTTTCAAACTGTTTTCTTTTTTTCCTTCAATGTCGATTTCTCCATACAACGTGAGGCTTTCTTAATCTCTCTTTAAATTTATTTTTATTCATCGAATTTCAATGTGTTCTATTTCTATGCACAAAATGTCAATTAAATCAATAACTTTTAATTCAAAAATTGAAATTTGAAAAGCTGAAATTGAAAAGCTGAAATTTCGTTTCAATTCCTGGATATAAAGCAAATGATATTCATTCGCTATTTATCTTACCTAAACTTATGTTTCTCGTGAATAGCGCATTCTTTCTGCGCTCTTCTGCTATGTGGACAGGAATCGATAATTGATGACTGTATGCAACAACGATTAAAATTATCGAGTAAATGGAAAACTGAAAGTTTTGAAAAGTATTAGAAAATTTTTGGGAAGTATGAAGGGCTAAAATATAACACATAAAAATATAAGCATTCTAGATTGCTAATAAGCAGCTTAAAATTCTGATGACATCATATTATTTCTTTCATAGTGATACTCTTGAATGAGAATTATCCAAGATTGATAAGGGGTTTATTCCGATATTCTAGGGATCTAACTTATACACCACGTAAACAATCTTATCACAATTGCTCACACTCATACATAAGACGGATGAAATGTCTACATTGTGAATGAAATCTTAGTTGTTTCCTAAGTCCGTACGCACTGAATTGAAAGGAAGAAATATTTCATTATTATAAAGTAGGATAAATGTTAGGTTATTAATTGTGCCAAAGTTTGTTGAGCAATAAACAAATCCAAAGGTAATATGAGACGCCAGACGAGATTGACGCCTCACTGATTGACGTTTCCCATTGCTCAATGTTTCAACTTACATATTCATAAATTAGAGATAAGAAGAAAAGATACGTGGCCATATTGGGTTTTCGGTGAAAGTCGGTGCGAAAAAAGTTTTTCTTCCGAAATGCAGAATTTACCTTATCTTTTCTTTTATTCTTGGAATTTTTTGCTATTCCTCAAATCTCTTTCCTGTTTTCCATTCTTCATCCTTCTTTAAACATACCGCTGATCTTTCTTTAAACATCCCGCTTGTTAAGGTTATTCAGAGAAGTTTGTAAGCCCATTCATGACGAAATCTGAGAATGCTATCGATGTAATTTTAAAAAATGGCAAAGTGAATATTTAGAAGGATAGTTCAAAATAGTCAAAGCTAAATTTCTGATTCCTTAGGTTACAGAGAAATTTCTGCTGCACTAAATCCCTCATTTCTTCTCGGTCGCCATGATGACAAAATTGCTTCTGATGAGATATTGATTCCCGTTATCATAAATAGTCAATCACAGATGATAAATTGATTCCCGTTGTTTATTGCAAAATCTCCGATGGTATCAGTGTATGCTTTCATTAACCATACGGTCACATAATGCGAGAATAAAAGCAGAGAAAAATTGACTTTTCTGAAAGTTTCAAACAAATGAAGAATAACATTACTGATAAGAAATGGATTGTCGTATTTAGAAATCGATATTTTTAAATAACATCTAATAGCTTATTTTCAATATGAATTTGTTGAATTAGAAAGTTCTTATCGAATACAACTTATTAAATATATTTCTTATATCTTGTCATTTTGCTACTATTTAACTAATTTTTTATTCGCTACTTTAATTCTTACTTATGCAGAAAATTTCCTATCTCCTTTTTTATCTTTTTTTGGTCATTCGACTCATTCTTCCGATGAATAAACAAAAAAGTATTAATAATAAGTGAATTTGCCTTAATATAGCTTATTGTCATTCTAATTGGAAGGAGTTTCATTAATATTATCGATTTTTAAATCCTTTTTTTTAAAAATTTGCATCATTTCTCAACTTTCGCTTCATCGAAGAGAAAATCAATGGCCCAATGAAAGAGACTTGGACAAGTGACTTATTACTTCCAGCTTGTTAGTCATTGCTAAGGAAAGTTGTCCTCAGGGATAGTGAAAGTATCACCATTATCACTTGATGTTTTATAGATTGCAATTGTTGCAGACAATAAATGCTGACAAATTTTATAAGCCATCATCAGAAAAATAATTAATCGAATTAATCGTTTTTTGAAGTGAATCCATGCAACAAAATTTGCTCTGATTTTTATTTTTCTCATTGGTTTTTTGCGAATTAACGGCTTTTCATTGATGTTATAAAGACGGCACGGTTTGGCAGTTTAAATAGCATATCTGGCCATAAAATCGCAGATGCTGTTGTTACTGACCTTTCATACTGCTTCCATTGATTTTCATATGCATTCATAAATTATCCCTCAATATTTAATCGGCCGTAAATGTCCTCACTGTTACCAAAGGTTTAAATTTTGTTCGTTTATAGCATTGCAAAGTCGGACCTCATATCCTCCCATATTTGCTTCTTTTTCAAAGTCTCGTCCGGTTTTTTATTTCTGAGCAGCATTACTGTTAAGTGCTCGATCAAATGTTTGTTACAACACTGATCAACATGGCTGGAAAAAACAGCCGAAAAATATGAACATCTGAGCATATTTCATCTCTAAGCTTATCTCCACTGAAACTGCTCGATGAGGTTTGAGATAACCGATCGTCCTGTTATATCTTGTCTCTCCAGGAAAACCCGAAATTCTTTAAAAACTTGAAAATATGCGGCTTAGATTTTACAAAAACGAAACATCCCAAGCCCAGTGCACGTGGCGATGTTAATATGAAGTGAGATGCGACTGGCAGAGATGCGACTGTGTTAATAATCTATCAATTTTTTTTAGTTATTTTCTTATTCTAAATAAAGGTAGAGAAGACAAAGTCGAATTCAAATCTGAAATTTCTAAAATCCTAATAAGGTTTTTCAACCATGATGGAATTACTGTGATCTAAAATCACATTTCCAGTTGGTATAGTACACTGAGATATGAAACATATTCAAAATTGTATTCTTGGCTGGTTTTGTTTTTTTCAAACACGTCAACCAATGTTGCAACCTACTGTGAGATAAGCCATTTATGGGGACGTTGATTTATGATATTGCAAGTTTGCAACTCCTGATGTATCCCCGCTGATGTTAACGGGACGAATTGCCTTCACTGAGACTTATGTGCTAAACAGAAATAACGTTTTAAATGGGAGACAGCAATCTTTTAGTAGTTTTCGATGTCAAATTATTAACTACTACTAAAGGTAAATAGCAAATAAAAATGGGAAAGTTAAATGGCGTAAAGTTGCGATTGACGTGATCTTTTCACGCATTTTACTTATATCACTTTGCAACAAATTTGCTAAACTTCGCAAATACGCTTTCTTTGCGCAATAGCTAAAAATGACAATTTGAAAAACATTTGATTTTTATTAATAGAAATGAAATTATAAAGCAGTATCGAATGCACCAAAGTTAAGACTTCAACAAACCTTCACTTTGCGATCCAAAGATTTATGATTCTCATGCTCTCTTCATAATTCGAAAGTGAGCGGTTTCCGCATCCTTTTGACGTTTTTCAGCTTTCACACCATTTCTTTTTATTTGCAGAACGGCGGAAATAAGGTCACTTATTCGTTTCAGGTATTCCAAATCAATCTGTAATAGTTTAGAAGAGCTTTTCAAACGTAGCAATCCAAAAGAAAAAAAAATCTTTGGAAGTTCTAAAAATAAAAATGGAAAAGTAAATGCTAAATGATGTGCTTTTTAATTCACTAGTGGGAAAAAATTTTCAAAATATTTGAAACCTTCCAATAACTATCCTTTTCTCTGCATTAGCTTTATCACCTAAAGAGCGATATAAAATTCTATCAGTAAGAAATGAGCTTGAAGTAGAAATGGGATAGATAGAGCCTAAATATGATTAAATCATTTATTGATATCTTACTGATTCTGATTCATGCCGAATTTGTTACTGAAAAGAGTACAATGAGAAATGAATACTTCCATTGGGGTTGTAATATCAACAGTATTTTCAACAATCGATAGTTTCTATATCCTAGTGAGGGAAATGGTATGATAGACGAAATGGGGAGCCGCGATATGGTGGCGATAATGTTACTTGGCGGTGGAAAAAGCGACAGCTGCATTATCTTCCAAACTTCCATCACCCTGCTCGAAAAACTCACCGATATATACACACCCATTAGGCACATATTTCATCATTGACCAGCACACGTCGTTCCTTTCTTCTACCTCATTTTACAGTTATTATGAGCAATTAGTTTACATAGCATTTCATAGCAAATAGATCTGTGAATATAATTAATTAATCGCTATTAATTAATGAAATTTAGTTAGCACTTTACTCCTCACATTCCTTACGTTCATCTTCAATTATTTCACGTTTAATGATTAATTTTTAGCTTCTGCACATTGAACTAATGTTATCTGTTAATAAGCTTTTCAAACTTTTTTCTTCGCATTCATTCTTCTCACTATGCCTCTATCAACTAGGACGACAATAAAATTTTCAAAAATGTTTTTGGATACAAAATTTTACCCTAGAAAATTTTGATGCATTTAAAACAAATTATTCAATACGTATAACACTAAGTAATTCAGGAAATGGAAAACTGATCGGAATTGACCGGTCCAAAATTCTCGTCCGTAGGAATCGTCCGGGAAAAAAAAAGGATCTGAAAACGAAAAATTTACAGTTTGTTTTGTGCTCCGAGATTCACTTATTTCTCATAACTGGGCAATCCTTTATTTTCCATTATTTTGCTAGCACTCAACTTCAGCACATTCATCATTCATTTGCAATTCGTAATTTGCCTGAATCCATTTACTTCTAAATAACTTTTGTCTTCTTACCCTATATCACAGTCTCCGATACTGCAGGATGATAATATAGCAACGACTGAAAATCATACTACTCAGAATTTCGTGATGACAGCATTCACTAAATTGTTTAGTGTCCAACTATTTTGAAAAGTTATGCAAATTCAAAAAAAAAGAAAAACAAGCAGGTCTAATATTTTTGAATAATCCAATATGTTTAGTTTACGTCGAAAATTTTCCACAGCTTCAAATTCCATATTTCACTATCTTTTTTCGAAATAAATGAAAAAACCCCTTTTGCGCTGTTATAATTTAATTGTCAAATGACATTCATCTGTTTGTCCTTTATGCAAATAAATCTTCCTTTTTTACAACCAACAACAATGTAAGGTTCACGTCGATCATTCATTCTCTTATAAATACCTTTTTCTCACATTGCTTTTTGATGTTTTATTCGATGTAAAGTTCATTGACTGATAACTTCTCGTGATTATTCAATGTTTAGAATGTCGCTAAAACATGTTTTCGCTTCGTTACACTGCAATGATATCACAAATTATAAGAAAGGATGGCTGCAGAGGGGATATCATCTATGAATTATAAAATATGAAATTATCAAATGTAACTTAGGGTACTTAAAAAAAAATTGGCAAGTATTCTTACTTCGTTTATTCTTTAAATAGTTAACGAAATGTACATAAATTCATTAACGTCATTATGAGAGTCGCTTCAAACCTCTCGCAAAATCTGAATGTTCAGTAATGATCAAGGCTCTGAAATGCTTTTTGATGAATTTGTGATAAACAATTCGGTATGAACTTTACCGTTCATTTCGTTTGTTTTTTTACTTTTTGATTATAACTATTGTCCGGAATAATATTTCGTGAAGTATTTTTAATACATATAATCAAAAATTAATTTCTATAAAAGCAATAGCAAATTTTATTGTCACTACAATAAGGTTTATACATTTAAATCAGTTCAATGCAAGGTAAAATCCAAGTAATTAATTCATAATGCCCTAACTACTCACCATAATTTTACTGTTTGTGTTCAGATGAAATGAACTGAGATTCTTTCCACGAAAAATAACGATTGACAACCATTTATACTTGCATGCATAAATTCGGATACCTGAAATAATTATAACATATATTTTTTTTTGCGTCCATTCGAATGAATACATATTGTCGCACGCAGTGATATGCTTTGTTAAAGCCAATATATTTCACAGCTGTGAAATGGCCCTTCTTGATTACAAAGAAAAATTTTAATTTTCTTGCATTTAACAGTGCTAAATTATGAAAACTTGTGAAAATTGAAAGATTTCAGTCGGCTCCAAATTGTTAAAATCAATTTCACAATTTGTTCGCACCCTTTCAGTCAACTTTCTTACCTTAATAATGAATATGGCTACAGCTAGGAATTTTGAACTTTTTTCTATGCTTCCCAGTATTTTCCAGTTTATTTGAAAAAGATACTTCTACATTTATCCGTTGTGAAAGTTAATAACAGCCAGATGTATTTCGAAAATTTTCTTTGTTCGTCATTACTGATATCTCAGCAGTAGAATCAAGATTTAGTCTTACTACTAATTCAAATCTTATCAAATCCATAATTCAACTATAATGTTGAATCGCTGTAGTACTTTCAACTAAATATCTATTAATTATGTTGACTTCAGAAGTCTTTTTAGCTAAAAAAAAAACATCTAAATTGTAAAATAAGATTGACCCATGATTATCCTTATCAGTGAGTCATAGAAGAGAAAGTATGAATCCATCTAATCCAGAAGGAATCTTGATATTCTTCTTGTTCTGGCATCGGAAACAAATAAATGATTCAATTTTATACACTGTTAACTTTCCTTTATCATTTCAGAGTCTAAATATGTGTTTAAAATGGAAAAATCAGCGTTGAAGTTAACAGTATTTACAATAGGATGTGTATTGGTAGTAATAATATCTGTGATAAATACTAGCCTACTCAGTGTACATATATCCGGAACTCATCCTACAATAAGTGAAACACCGCTCTATGGGCAATATGATAGCAGTGAATTAGTGAATACTGAAAGGTAAAATTGTTATAAGCTGTTGATCTGGCGGCATTGTCGGAGAATAGTTACCCTGTTACCTTTTGCTCCCGCAAATGAAATGAGTTAAGGAATGAGGACTCTTTTATTCTTTAGTTTCTCCTGATTATTTAGTTAAACTTGATGATTTTATAAATAATTCAGGTAATTAAATAAATACCGCATGATAAACTTTATAAATCAAATTGATCAAATCCATTTGTGAAGTCTAATTTATTGCAGACTACAGTCTAGTCAGAGATTTGAACAGAAACCAGAAAGAAAACTTTACTTTGGACCTTTTCAGTATACCTTTAGCGGCGCCATCGCCGGCTCGTCGCAGACAACAACGTCTACCACAATGCTTAATCATAGGTGTACGCAAAGGTGGTACCCGAGCGTTGCTGGACGCACTGGCGGTACAACCTTATATTCGTGTCGCTCGACGAGAGATGCATTTTTTCAATGATAATGAAACATATAGCAAAGGGTCCGACTGGTATCGTCGACAAATGCCGCATACTTATCCTGAGCAGGTTTCTTACTTTTTGGATGAAGGACAAATGCTAATGTAATGTTTGGAAAGATGGCAGTGCTCGTTTTTTTGATGACATTTTGATATCCGAAAGAATCCACTGTAAACGCTTCAACATTAATTTAATAAATTGAACATGACTCCGACTCAGTAAACCAACTTTCTCGTCCTTTTTAGGTGACAATCGAAAAAACGCCAGCTTATTTTACAAATCAGTATACACCGGAAAGAGTTCATCGCTTAAATAGTTCAATGAAACTGATATTAATATTGAGGGACCCGGTTATTCGCACTATCAGTGATTTCACTCAGGTAATTATAACCTCTCGAATTAGAAATAACAGGAATGTTCTCTGATGGTTTCATAACGTCAGTGAAATTTTCATCCCTCTATTTTCGTGATGCTTGAAAAAAGCTTTAGTGGGAGTGATTTTCATCTTTTAAATTAAAAGTAGCCTTTGTGTTCATAAGATTTTCTACCTCTCGAGTTGAAATTTTGCTTGGGCGAAAGTTTATGTTGAATGGAATAACTAAAATCTTTGAACTTTCATCTCTCAAACAAAAATTTGCAATCCTTCGTTTTTCTCTTCATTTTTTTTAAAATAAAAAACTGATATGCACAACTGGCTAATGTTTTTGAATTATTTGGATGGTGAATTTTTTAACAAGGCCGTGAAGAAATTTGAAGGGTATGATTTCAGTTGCTCAAAGTTAAGAAAGGGAACTGTTAACAAGTAATAATAGAGTAATTAAATCTTTAAAAAGAAATACGATAAACTGATCTTGAAAAGAAATGTTAGAGTGGACAATTGTCAAGAAGTTTTTTACATGTGTAAGCGGTCTTGTCTTCAGGTACTTTACACAAAACATGAACGCAACAAGACAAAACCTTCGTTCGAAGCAGAAGCTTTTTTAAACGACAGTTTTGCAATCAACGTTAATTATAAACCGGTACGTAATTCCCTGTATTCACTTCATATGGGTCAGTGGTTGAAATATTTCTCGATAAAAAATTTCCTGATTCTGGATGGTGATAAATTTATTGTGGATCCCTTGCCACAGGTCAGTTTTAACAATTTATTGCATAGTTCTTTTTTGAATATCCAACAAATATTTGTTTTTGCCTCTTTAAAGCATCCATAGAAAAGATATAAACAGTTTTGATCTTCGAAAAAGTGTGGGTTATAATCGGAAGTCAATAATAGTTTCCACTACTGCTATTTGTCTTTTAGTTGCAAAAAGTTGAGCGATTTTTGCATATTCCTGAGTTATTCAAACCGGATCAACTGGTTTTCAATAAACATAAAGGATTTTACTGCTTTCGACGAAAGGACCGATACACGGCTAAATGCCTTGGGAATAATAAAGGTCGTCCTCATGCAAACATTATGCCAGAAATTCAATTGAAATTGCGCAGGAGTTTTCGGCCATACAATGCGGAATTCAATAAAATGGTAAATCAGTGGTGGAACTGGGAAGAGAAAGTGCCATTATCTTCACATTTTTTATCTCAGTGAACGGGAGGACATTTAGGTAGAGTGTTAATTGTTGAAGTAATTATAGGCAAAATAGATATTTCTAGCTTATAACAAATAACACTCAACGAAGTTGAAATTAAAAGGTGAAAAAATTTTTTTCCGAAGAACTCGATAACCTGTTAAGAACTCTATCGCGTGATTTTTATGGGTCAGGAATTTATCTGAAAATTATTCGATGTTTCAATCTTGATTTATTCATTTGTGTTTTTTAAATTTTGTTCCATAACTCTTGTTTTAGTCTGATATTGTATTTCCTTTCCAGATCTAATGGTGCTAAATGTATTAGAATATGATTTTATTGCGCTTCAGTACTCATTGAGCTTATAACAATGCCTTTTAATGTTTGAGCACCTCTTTATGATTGTATTTTTTCTTGTCTTTGAATCCATAGACTTGTTTTTACCTTAATAAAGTCACTAATTAAATATTTTGAGCCTTTAGATTTAAAATTTAGGAAGTGGTGTTGTGTCGTTGAAGGACATTTGTTTAAAACATAGAATGATGTTTTTGTGAATCTTAAGGTGGGATTTGTGAACCAAATTAGGAAATCGAGCCTGCTGAAGGCCCGAAGTCGATGGATTAATTTTCTTCATTAATAAATCTTTTGCGTATTTCTAATACGAAAGTATCTAAGCAGTTTATTTTAAAATTTCAAAATAAAGTTTAATGTGACTTTCACAGTAAACATAACCAAAGTACTTAAATTAGTGTTTACTTATGATTCTATACCTTATTCATGGTCAATCAAACAATGTATTACTAATAATAGTTGACGATTGATTTATTTTAAAAGATTATCATCACACTCCCGCAGCATTCGGGTTATTTATTGCCTAATGTGTTGGAACCGAAAATAATCAGGCTATCTTTAATATACGCATGAATGTTAAAGTTTAAGTGCTACTTAAATCTGATTTAATCATCGAATAGTGTGCGAGCAAACTGTACGCTGATTACTTTTGTCATAAACTTTTCTCAGGTAGTTATGTATGGTGTTCTTTACCCTCATAATCGGAAGTGATAAAACGATTTTGGTCTTGGTTTCTTTGTTCATCACCACATCTACCAATGCAAATTGTTAACGAGATAAAAACCAAAAGATTGTAGCGCCCATTAACTTCTTATATAGACAGTTAGTCTTCTAACTCAGTATTTAAAGCACTTTCTCAAGAATGAGATAATGAGAAGTACCTTTACAATAGGCATTGTCGCTTGCTCATTATTTGCAATACATTTGAGAAGCCTTATATTTCTTCCATTTCAGATGCTGTTTATGGTACAGTCTATATGCAAAACAAATCATGACCAAAAATTTTTACTGTCTAATAAATGTAAACAATATATTCTCACACTTACTTGCAAAAAAAAAAAAATTGCCAACTCATTATGAAGCATAAAAATGTGGTAAATATGATTATCAAGCAAAGGAATTGTTGGATAAAGGAACCAGTATACTATAGCTACTATTACAAAGGTCACCTTGACAAAAGTATATTTTGCCGTAAAGTTTTGCACAACTTTATCAATCCGCATATTACTCCAGGAATTACGATAAATATATTGATCACTTGCGAACGAAATTTAAATACTGAAAACTCTGAGACAAAATACAATGGCACAATGAATCGGTTGCACCTCATCTGACAGGAGAGGGAAGACAAATACTGAAAAACAATAATGTGTGACGGAAAGAATCTTAAAATTTTGTGAATGATTTTCACAGGACAAGGAAAAATTTCTGGAAGTTTTAAATTTGTGAAAGACAAATTTACAGTGAATTTGACAGAAGCATCAAATTGTTTTATTGCAGAAACTGTAGAATTTGATTTAAAAAAAGAAAATATATCACCGTTACGGTATCCTTTCAATTTGACACGTGCATTTGATTCCATGGCAGTATTTGGGCAGAGTACCAAATCCCTTTAATAATAATCCGGATTATTTGAGAGATATGATTCAAAAACACTTTCTTACGGGTTTTGGTATAAGCTGTCCAGTCTGTATAGTCTCTGAATTTATATGGTTAACATCAAAATTTCCTAATTTGCAAGGAAAATTGAATAAACTTCAGATTTTGTAGAACTGCTGTACATATGTTGAACTGAACCTGTAAGTGCCTAGTACCACAGCTTAATAGAAAATGAGTCACTAGGTCTCGCGTAAGTTATAGCCGAAATTCATAGATTGTTATCTTTTCAACTGTTTGATATAGATCAGTAATGGCATTACCATCGCAGAATTGCTGTGAATCAGAATGACTTGCGGAAGATATGCAAACATAACAGGCAACCTGACCTTTTAGACGACTTTTGAACACCTTTGGTGACAGCATATGGATTGCGTGTCCAGAAATCACTAAATACATTGCGAGTTTTGCAGAACCCGTCATACCCTTGAAGTTTCTTTTTTCGCTTATTTACAATACTACTATTACTACTAACTATATGCTGCAGCATGCAAAAGGTTACAAATGGGCTTCTTGCTAACCCCAAAGAGTTCGGAGATGCTAGTTCGGTTCTGAATAAGACACTATATTACTTGTTCACTATATTACATTGCTACTATATTACATGGCTTTATTTTTGAATAAGCCTGTATTAGTTGCCTTAGCATTCAGAAACAAATTAAAAAATTTCAATATCTTACCGATAAAGAAGAGTGTAAATGAATTACGATTTCTTCAGAGTTAGAAAAGTTTAAAATTTACATTAATTAAACTGATCCAAACTCGAGTACATCATTATTTATTCAAGGAAATGTTGATTTATACATTAGAATGCTGTAACAAAATAGCGTAGAATTAATATCGGAAAAAATTAAATTAGAAAAAAGTTAAGTTAAGGAACGAGGAACAGATGGGAAAGTTGGATGACGATAACTTAAATGTTTTGTTTGGCACATACCTGCTGGACACATTCTCAAACATCTTCGAAAACAGGCTCAATTTTCTTCTGGCATAAATTCTTTCTTTATTATTTCACTAGAAGTTGCGCTAGAAGTTAACAACAGAAGTTTAATAACATAACACTAGAAGTTGCGCATAGCAAGAGTCGAAAAAAGTAGAAGGTTAGGGAAGAAAATGAATAGGTAATCAGAAATTAAGCGATTCGAGTTTTATGAATTTTCTGCAACGTCAAAAACAATATACGGTATTAGTTCTGATAAACACCAATTATATGGTACTGAATGTAATTAATTTTTATTCGGCAGGAAAATATCGATTTTTGGAGCAAAACGGAAAAGTGAAATTAATTCCCGAATTTCTTCGAAAGCAACGTAATTTCTGGAATTGATCGGGTAGTCAACAGAATATGACATTGTCGATGGTGCCAACTAGAGAGAAGAATGGCATCAACCCAACGGTGAGGGTAAATCCACGATATCAACCGTTTAACACAATTTCATTTACAAGATAATACATGCAAATAACACTTTTAATAGTAGCAAGGAGATTTTCTCGTAAGACATTAAATACGGAACTTTTTAATTATTGCTGAAGTTAATTATTCTTTCCAGAAGTTAAGTGGAAGCTTATTTTATCATTCACCACTGACAATGACATTCGAAACTTCATCAATTATCAGAAATACAGTGCTCTCACCCTCTCTTACATATCTTTCTTAATCAATCATTTTGAAAGGAACAAAATAAGTAAACTATCCGATATTTCGGGAAACAAATATTAGTGTCGAGTAGATTTATTGCTCTGTCACCGATGTTAAAAGTAAATGGAAGGTAATCTGTGATAAATTCTAAACTGCTACAGTAATTGATGGTAGATAAAGAGATTTTAATATTAGGAAATAAAAGATTTCAAACCTTTTCTCAAATTTCGACTGGAAAATTGAAGGAATTAAGCCCAAATAACAGACATAGAACCTTCTATGATATTCTTATTTACGTGATAAACATTGAACAAAAGGGTCTTATTATTACTTTGCTATTAATTGAAAAATAGATAACATAAAGCATTAGCGGGTGATTAATTGAAATTTCTGAATAAAATGAAGTAGTTTAATTTAAATGAAATGAATTATAGCATTTTCCAAAAAGTAATTTTCTTCGAGGGATTAAGAGTAAAACATGTCAACCTTCACTCAACCTTCACTTTCTTAGTCTTAAAGCATCTGTCTCTCATAAGTTTCTTTCATATTTCTTCATAGATTTTTAAGAATATATATGGTTAAATTAACTAATATCTGGAAAAAAAAGATGAAAAACTTTGGATTAAATGAATAGAATGAAAAATTTCAACAATGCCTAGTATTAAAGTCTTAGACTGAATTTTAATTAAATTATTTGGGTTGTATTGTACATTGATGACCGTAATTCATTCTCTAAGAAAAGAAGAATTACATTGTTTTCAACAGAAACCAAATAATGCAGGTTTGCAATCATAATGCATAATACAGAGATGAAAAGATTGATTTAAAACCTTAAAAATTATTTCGAATCAAATGAAAAAGTAATTGCTGTGCTTCATACTTTTATGAAACTAAAAATCTTGCATATGAAGCGCAAAATTAAATCATGCAGATCCTTCCAATTTAAAAACTACGGTGAATTGAATGACACGAAAATATTTTTTAGCTGATTTTAACTATTTGGTGCGCTTGAATGATCTGCACAAAACTGCGTTATGTTGATTGATGGAAGATTGCTTCGCTTATTGGCATATTCACCAAAATGAATGAGAAATGCTTTTTTAGGAACTCTCGCAGTGACCCATAGTGACCCATTTAAGATTTTATAGGAAGAGAAATCATAAACATTTTTAATGCTAATAACATTGCTAACAGTGGAACTTGGTTTTCTTCCAGTTCTTCCGGTACTTTATAAATGTCATATATCATAATTCATTTCTCTTTTATTACATTTTCAGTATATGTTATATTCGTTGTAAATGGAAAAGAAATGGCAAATTTTATTTATTTATTGCTAGGAAGAAACAATGCAATTATTTAAATTTTACAGTTGTAAACATTGAAAGCACAATAAGGCAAGGGATGACAATACTTTGATCTGTTTTTGGATAAAGTTTTATTGACTGATTCTAACAACGATTGGTGTTGACAGCTATGAAAACAAATTGGAAACTACAGTACGGTTCCAAACAAATGATAAAAAAACTTAATAAAAATAATCAAAAAATGTTCTGAAAACTGATGCTGATAATTAAGGACAAATGGATGACAAGGGTTCATTTTTCTTCTATACAAGATAACAGTCGATGATGAGCAGAATAACTTTAACAGAAGAGATTCTTGAAACGATTGGACGATTCCTTGAACGATTCTTGAATGATTCTAGAACTTCAACGATTCCTTTTCAGTGCTTGGTATATGTATATTTTAAAGAAAACGAGAGGAAATGCCTTGCGAAATAGATAGAAAAATGAAATATTAGATGAACTCCAAAAAGAGAAAGTCAGGAAGTAACCGCTGATCAGTATAGTTTAATTTGAGACAGTTTTCAAGAAATATTTTGCTCTTAATTACTTGGTGTTAGAAGAATTAGATTAGAAAAGCTTACAAAATCATTTTAAAAAAAATGTATTTTTTGTTGGAGATGGCCGTAGTAAACATGTGGAAATGGAGAGAGGTTGTAACTTTCACCGAAAAACAGAAAAAATTTTTTTTCCTGGCTGATTGAGAGATAAATTTTTTCTAACATGATATAAGAATAGATATAATAGTTCTATCTAGCGTTTGAATTTAACACTTAATGATAGAAGTTAAAAGTGAACAATAGAAATGAGATGCTGAAATGATACTACCAACATGTAAACAGCGGTAGAGGATAACTTGAAATCATAAAATTTTAAAGATTTACTAATAAATATTTATCGAAAAAACGAATGAATTTGTTACGAAATACGAAATGACTTTTGATTTTGGGAAGTTCACTCAAAATGATTGCATTAATGGGAAAATGACTGCGTTTTTTGATTACCGAAGGCCACAGCTATCGTATTACAGTTACGTCCAAAACATGATTATTTCCAAATAATTTTATCTGTAACTTTAAAAAGATGAATTTCATTAGTCCGTTTAAACTTTCTGCTACTTTTTGCATCCGTATTTAGTGTCAATAAAAAAGTTGCTTCGATAAAGCTTTGACTTAATCTGACTCCACTATTCAATATTCATATAAGCAACATATATTTAGATTACAGAGTTGTCGCAAATCGAATCTTATGGGAAATGAATTAAATTAAATATATGGCAATGCTTTAAACCCGAAAAATGAAGCCGATGATAAATGGAAGTACAAGCAAGATGGTAAAGCTGAGAAAAGATAGATAATGGGATCGATGAAGTAATTGAATGATGGCATAAGCGGAGCGACGAGACATTTTTCAGCAGTTTCCAATTGGCGCTCAAATACAATCATGGAGAATAAAATAGCAGTGTCACATTATCCTTTTAGGAGAAACTACGTGTGAATCATTCAATTAAATTTTGTAAAAGTATGGCAAAAAAAGTTACAATTTTTTCCATTTCATTCTTGAAGTTCGTTTTCAAAATTTCTTGTTTTCTCATTCGACATTCTTCAAGCAAAATGCAGCTACGTCAACAGAACTGGTCTTTCACGAATTCAACTACAGTTGTAGAAAGCACATTGAAGTTGACGACCAAGTTGACAGTGGTTTATTTTTTCGGACTTAGTCAATGACAATACAAAGAACATTGTTTTTCGCAGCATTTCCGAAATGACAAGTAATGCTAGAAAACATTATTTTCATTGTTAAGCACTTTCAAAATTCTGATACTTTTTCTCTTAAAAAAGAAAAATTGCTATTAATGGTATTTCTCACTGAAATTTTTTCTTATGTCAGCCAAATAGTAAGTATAAATAATTCAGATTTGCGCAGACTTAAATTTTTGTCGTTTGATATATATTATTCAATTCCAGTTGCATATTTATAACGGATAATGAATGAGTCTGATGTGAGATTTTCTTCCGGCCATCAGTGATAGTGTCGCTGAAATTTTGGGTTTTTTTTATTACATAACCCTTTCCTTTTTTTTTTCACTCGTCCCAGGTTATTTTGGAAAAATTATTCATAAATATGCAAAAAAAAAAAAAATCAAATTAATGGAAATTACTAGTCAAATATGCGCAAAGTTGGTTTTTCAACAAATATGTCATCCTGTCGAGACATTAGCAATACTGATCTTTTGGTTGGTCGTTCGAGGCCATGGAAATCATTATCATTCAGGTCGAAAAAAGTTATCAGATTATAAAAGTTAACAGATTATGGCTTCTTCAATTCAGGATATAGTGCTTCAAGTTTTAGGGGCAAAAAGAATGGTGGTAGTTCACAACGGTCGGTTAAAGAATTGTTTGGTGGCATATTAAAGTTTCGATGTAAACTTTCGATGAAAAAGATAACTGATTACGTCCTGTGTTATTTTTTCTAATAACATTGTACTGGAACATGTGAAAAAGTTAATTTGAGATTACAAAAGAAAAAAATACAAACTGGTTAGGTAGGTAACAGTGTATTGCAAATTACAAACTTTTGCAGGACATTATTACAATTTTCAAAAAATGGAACAATACGGAACAGCACGTTCGCAGCATGTCTTAGCTTTTTTTTCTATAACTTCAGATGTAAATGCTCCATGAATTTATTTTTTCCAAGCCTTACCTTTCCACAGATTTCTGAAAATACCTGAAAAGTCCAGTTCATCATCTAGTTACTGAATTCCAGCATTATGTCCATTTAGATACCACATAAACAAATATCGTGATTAAATATTAAAAAATGTCGGCGATACAACTTCCACTATTCACAATATTCACTATGATCCTTTGGGCAACTGCACTCGAGAAAAATTCTCCGATTGTAAGGTAAAAGTCTTTTGTGATGTCATGAAAACAAAATAGCAAATGATTATGGTAATTTACGAAGAATTTATCGAAACTCTTAGGACATTTAAAATTCGAAGTTTGTCAAATATTTCAAAGCCGTGGAGGAAAAAACACTTTATATCTAGTAATAACTTCCATCTTATCTATAAGCTATAAACAAAAGATTCTGATTAATAAGGTATGAATATAAGTCCTCGTCGAGGTCGAAACTACGGCCGAAAATTGGTGTAGGTGACATTATTGTATTGTGCTGCTTTTCGCAAATGAGGAGAAATTTCGGTTATCGAATCCAGCAAGCGACTTTATCTTGCAAAACTGCTTGTGATCTTGGTCACTCAACAGAAGCCCTTTCCGAAAAAGATAACTCTGATTCGGGGCCTTCATTATCGATCCGGAAGAGACTACAATTTGGTTGCTCCCGCAGTAATATCTCTACATTTATCTCAGACTGTTCTTGTAAGAGTTTCTTTTGTTAGTATAGTTAATCTTTAATAAACGCTAAAGAAATTTAGGCATAACGGTGAAACATTTTTTAATATTCAATTAGCACCTCAATTTACATGTACAATTTCAGTTGAAGTTTGTTTAGATAAATTAAAAATGAAATGATTCACTGTCGGGAAGGATTCATGAATACATAGCTAAAACAATAATTAAAACTGAGCTCTTTTCGACTTTCAAAAAAAAAAGAAAGAATGTCTTGAGAGACAACATGCTAAGATTTTTATTTAAATTCAATTAAAAGTGATAAATATGAATGGTTCTGGCCAATTTAATTTGAAAGGGAGAGTTCCAAGTGATGCTAATGGAAAATTACGAAACATTGCACTACGAATATTACTCCCTGCCGTTAGATCACATTTTACCACTTCATGGGGTATAGCACGGGAAATACTCATCCCGAGGAAATTTCGACAGTACGAGACAATTGGTGGCAGTATGCCTCACAAGACTATATACAGTAAATATGAATCACCAACACCAATCAACAGTGGTTATACTAGCAGTTATCATCCAGGTAATTCACTATCTTTTCTTCTTTTGATCTTTGTCAGTTTGGTTATCTTTGTCTTTATTCACTAGTAAATAAAAAATATGGGAGCCAATTTCGAAAAGGTTAATACGAAACGAAACTTTTAACATTCCCTTAATATCCTTAGCTTCAGCTGGTCACTGCCTCTTGTCTTACTACTTCTCGCCTTTCCTTTCCAGTCGGTTCCTTACTTCAGTTCCAATCAGTAAGACCTTCAAGGTAAACTGATTATAACTTGGGATTTCAAATTATATTTGTCTCAAGATTACCTCAAATTTTGAATATTGCTAGGTAGTAATTTCAGTTGAAGGATCGAAATCCATTTTCGAACATGTAGATAGACAGGTGGATGCTAATAAAAGTTGAGTTGAACCACAGAACTGATTTACCTACATGATAAAATTGAGATTTAAGGAGGAAAAAACATTGATTCCACGTCATACAGAGGACTATCATATATAGAAGTTCCGTCTATCAGTTCAAGTGATGCATATATGACACGGACAACAAGAAAAGCAACCACCAGTTACATCACACCGACGATGTCTGTTTCAACTTTAAACCAAAAAAATTTTTTATGTTCCAATGAGGAGGCTATTGATTAAATAAAAGGAAAGTAGTGAAGCTTATAGTTTGAAAATGCAAGAGAATGGATTATGAGAAGGAAAGTCGGGTGAATACTCAAATGAAGTTTGCAAAAAAACATGCTTCACTTTGCTGCCTCGATATCATTAATTTGTAACAAATTTATTCTATTTGTACGACATATAGAAAGGGGAAATTAGCGAATCAAATGGATATGCATTGAATTTTGTTTAATTAATTCATTTCTCCTCGCAAAAGTGTCGATTAAGACAAATTACCCTTTATCTCAAGTTTTAAGAAAATTTTTTTTTAGCAACTTACCTTATAATGCTTATTTTCTCTAGTTACAATCTCTTATTTCATATGATGCTTACTGAGCTTTTGAAGAGGTATGACAGTGGAGGATAAACAAATTCATACGTTGGACACTACAGAAACTGATTACCATAGCTCGAATCCACAAATACAAGTGATCGCGAGCGAAGTGGATCATGAAATACCTAACAGTTAGTGTTTGCTTCTTTAAAATAACATTGAAATGAAATTTTAAAACCCTTTCATAAAGCATTAAGCAGGATCTGACAAAGACATTAATATTATAAATAGATAACAAGACTTAATTAAGTGTTGGGATTGAACAATAAACAGTGGAAGTTTAACATGAAGTTAATTAACAAGCAATTTAACACTGATTTAACGTAAAAGTAGATAAATGTAAGTGAAGGGGGAAAAAAAACAAAAAAACAACTGAAAAACAACTGAAAAAGATAAAGCACATTAGACTGACGAGGTGTAACTGTTTCACAATTCAAGTCAGTATTTTTCTACAATGCTTTTCAGTTTGGAAACGAAAACTGAGACAATGAAATTTAATGCGAAAGATTCCCTTCTCCAGACAGGAAGGTAATTTAATTTAAAATCACGCCAAATGGATAAAAATATAGTTTACGTTTTGTGATGCCATTTTCCACTTCTTCCGATTTTATTACTCATAGATTGTTCTCATACATGTACTTCTAATTATCTCTCGTTTTTGTCCTTACACCAATGGAACTTTGTCGAAATTCGAGTGGAAGTAATATGGATTTCACCGAAACACCCTATGAAATTATCCCTTGCTCTATTCCTTCTAGATCACATTTTTACTGAAGTTCCATTATCAAACCACTGCTAAAATTCTACCAGTGAATTCTGTATAGAATTAAAACAAGTGACAGGTCCTTCTCCTCTGCAAAGCCTGCAACCTGTTGATCGACAGAGGAAACACAGTGTTAACTTAGCAACTGGAAATGAAAATAACAGATACCGAATCTTCAACCTGCTAATAATTAATCATTTTTATCGGGAATATTTTTGCTTCGGATCATTTTTCCGTTTACTTGAAATAAATTAGCAAAGACCGATAATTGAACTTCGAGCCAACTGAGATGAATTGTTCTTTCACTTGTTTGTGTATATCCAAACTGAACTGATGACAGTCATCATTATGTACAACCACAATCTAAACGTGTTATGCATCTTCCAATTTCTCTTTCGTCTTCTTTCTTAACAAATAAACATCCGAAGGAGTCAATGAAGTGCTTCAAGTTTCAGAATTTAATAAATCCCTTCAGAATAGTGCATGAAAATTGCAGCACAAGAAAAAAGTATAGCTTATCCCGTGGAGCATTCGTGAAATGGGGAAAAAAAGGGAAGAGACCTGATGCAATGTCACCTCCCTTATTTAAACTGAACCCAAGGCTAAGCTTTACAGTTTCAGGTCAGAGAGTTACATCACACACATCCCACAGTTCATGCTTAACTTGTTGACACCCACAACAGTCACAGCTTCCACGCACGCAATCACGAATAACGACCTCACCCAGTCCTCCTCATTTCATACTTCGAGTCATGCAATTAGTATGCAACATTTCTCCTTACATAAACTTTCATGAACTTAAAAAGTCGGGGATTGTGGGGTGTCAGGGTTGGAGGTGTTCGGTGTCAGTAAGAAATGTACAGGCGAGGTTGAAGTGAATTAAGAGTGTTGGTGAAAACAGAGGAAGCTGGAGTGTTAGGAGAAGTTACGGCAGAGTATGAAAAGAGGGGAAGATGACATCACTGAGGTTAAATTGAAATCGGTTATGAGCGGGTATGTGTGTGTATGTGTATGGTATGTGTGTGTGTACGCGTGTGTGCGTACACTTGAAAATGTGCATAGTTCAATTGTAAAGATCGAGCCCAACTTTAACTTAAAATATTTTCGGTTGTAATAAGCTAGAACTGATGTGTGGCAGGGAGTTCGGAATCAAAGAATTTTGTTGCACATAAATTGAACTGGATAGGAATTATCAGGTTTAGGAAGAAAGATGAAAGTTTATCCGTTCCTTGGTTTTGGTTTTTCATCCACTCATCACTAGACAAAGTGGGATTTGCTAAAATTAGTCAAGACTGCATTTTTTTCTTCTTTTTGGAAAACAAGGTTTAGTAACTTTATTAAGTATTTTTTTTGAAAAGCATGCATGGAGAGGTTATAAGAAGGGAAGGTTTCATAGGTTTTGAATTTCGCAAAATAAAGGTATGAAATATTTATTAACAATCATGAAAATTTTTTTAGCTAAATGGAGAAAGCGATCTTTGCATTAAAATTTGAACAAATCAAAGCAGCATACAAAAAAATGAAAGAGGAGGGGTGAGGTGTTTTTTTAACGAAGAAAACTTGCTTTCCAATGTATGTGTATGCTACTTCACATGCATTGTCACAAAGCGGAACTTGCATTTCACTATTGGTATTTCTGAAACTCTCGGTAATATTTAGAAAAATCTTTTACTAATTTTGAAAGACGTATAGTTCTGCTTTACACTTACCGTTAAGAATATCTGATCAGTAATTTTAAATTTTATTGCAACATTAGACCGTAGATAGATGATTAGAAACAAAAAGAACGTATAACAAAGAAATTTCAGGAGTGCTGCTGAAGTGGTTAGATTAACAATCGAGAATGCCATACACCGGAAAGCATTTGAGATTGCACAGTGTGCGAATAGTGAGCAAGAAAATCTTCTGAGGCAGCTGCTAGCGGTTACATTCCAAGCTGCTAAAGAAGGTATCATTCTTTCGCGTTTTATTTTGACACTTTAAGGCTCCAGCCTGTACCCAAGATTTTTTAGGCCACAACTCTTTTAAATTGCAGATTTTTGTGCAAAAGGAACAACAGTTACTGTTGTACAAGATGTATTCGATGTCAGCTCGGTCAAACGTTGTGAAGAACTTTTTGTCATTGTTGAAGACAATCTACCACAATGGAAAATGGTGCACATTTCTCGTTTTTTGTCCTTCTTAAAAATTTTGACTAACCATGGTGTGTTTTATGTGTTGCATGATTCAATTTTCAGAGTATTTTTTACGAGCCTTGCAAAAATATGATATTACGGATGTGTAATGATTTGCTGAAGCGCCTTTCACGAACGGTGGATACGATATTTTGTGGCCGTATTCTAGTTTTATTAGCACATGCGTTACCGTTGTGTGAAAAATCTGGCTTAAATCTTGTTAGCCATTTTAATCTGGGCAATGTTACGAAATATGACATGGTAAATGTTGGGTCTTTAATTCCTTTATTAATATGTTTTCTTACATTTTACTGAATTAGTAACAGTGTTGTAGTGATGGATTTATCTCCAGAAACTAGTCACTTCCCTTGTCGAGTTATTTAACTGCTTTATGTTTCAAAATGTAGTGTTTTGGAAAAAAAAAAAACCATTGCTTATTTATATCTTAAGGCCGATTCGTGTCTTGGTGTGGACGCAAATTTAACGGAGGACAGCGACGTTATGGAAGTGGGCGAAATAAGTGAACGGTATTTGTTCTGCTCGCAGATTTGTAATTAATATTTTTGAATCTTTTCTTTTTGCAAAATTTCCGTTACTTGATAAAGGCACAATACTACTGCATCCTCATTCCACCAACAAGTTACATCAAAGATCAAGGAGTCATTGTATTTGTTATCTATTTTCCAGTCCATTAGTTCACTTTGTTTACGGGAATAATTTCCATATTTCTGTCATTCAATTTTTAAGGGAAATTCCAGTTGACTATACACTTTACGCGAAATTTTGGCAGTTGCAGTCTTTCTTCTCTTCGCCAGCAACATGTTTTGAAAAATCGAAGTGGCGAACTTTTCAGCAGGTGACGTATAACAGTTTATTTTGCATGATCCTCTTTTGTCCTGTAATGTTGAGAATCAGGTGACTTCTTGCAACAGCGTTCACAGCAACCAATCAATTATTCTTTCACAGAACACAACTGAGGTGCTCAACATATTTTCAAGTCATAAACTGGAAAACTGTATAGCCCTTGGAGAAGGCTCAAAAAGAGAACGTTTGAAGCAGGTTTCTTTTTATTTTGGTTTTTTTTTTTTAATTTTAAGTTTTTCCAGCATTTTTTCATTTTTAAACAAAATATTTCATGCTTAGATGTTTCATTTTGCTTCTCCAAGTTCATTTTGAATTTCTATCTTTCCTTTTTACCGAGAAATTCTTATTTTAGGAAAATTCAAATGATGAAATTCCTGTGATTCCATCGACCTCGAAAGCTGATGGAGATGAAGACAATTATTTCGCGAAGTATTTGACTAGTCAGAAGGTAAATCTCTAATTTCAACAATTCAGTGACAAGAGTAACGTTTTTAGAAATATTCATATTCGAAATTATAGAATTATAGTTACAAATTATAGGCACATTTTTTTTCTTATAGCTATAAATTATAGTTACATTTAAACCAAACTTTTTCAGCTTTTACAATTACAATTGAATGATTCTCAGTTTCGACGTTACTTCCTCGTGCAGTGCCTAATTCTATATCAGTATTTAATATCCGATATCAAATTCAAGGAGTAACCCGTTTCGATTTCGTTGAATTCCCAATTACTTTTTGAATCTGTTCTTGATGGATTTTAATCTTTCCATATTAAAAATGGAAAATTTTCATTCATCTTTTTGTTTTTCCAGCAGATCTTTTACTCTGAATGATGAACAGTTACGATTTATTATTGAGTCCACTGAGCGGTGCTTTCGATTACTACGTGAGACGCATCCAAAAGGACCGCATTTTGCTGATGCTATGAAAGTGTGTTTTCACTGATTCAAGATTTAGAATAATTGTGATAGATAAAGGGAAAATTACTACCTGAAGTATCTTTAGGTTATTCTTCATCGTGAAAAGGAATGGTCTGAATGGAAGAACAAAGGCTGTCTTGATTATACTCAGCTAGCAGATAAAGAAAAACCGAGTGTTTTCAAAAAGTGAGCTACTGTCGCTGTATTCAATTGACAATTTCAATTGTAGCTGTATTCAATTGAAAAATATATTGAAGTTTTATTGAAAGCATATTGCAAATGTTCAAAAAAGTTGTAATATATCAAATTTGCCCTTATAACAGAACGTTTTCCTCTAAAATCCAAACAAAAGGAAATGAAATGAACCAGTTCTTTCCATCCTCCTTATTTTCGAATTTATGAAATCTACAGGGTAAGGAAGTGATAAGATTTTTCACTGATATGTTTTGTAGGCGTCCTAGAAATAGATATGACCCCTCAAAACTTGATCTCGGCAATCCAGAGCTAACAAAGCTGTGGAATATTAATCCGGATATGTTATCAGCTTGTGAAGACTCGAGAAGGTAAAATTTGATTAGAATGCTTCCAGATTCGGTAGCGTTTTTTATTAGCATTTTTTAAAAGTAGTTTTAAAGGTAGCGTTTTTTAAAGCTATTCGGTAGCGTTTTTTCAGGGATGCAGTATTTCAGCTATTAGCGTCTGTATGTATTTGTATGGGAAGTAGAGCCTAGTCATAATTAATATATTTTCGTAGATTGAACTGATTTCAATCTGATTTCAATTGATTTCCTGACATCACTTCTGATTGTCAGGTATGCATACAAAAGCCTTTGGTATGACAAGGGTAGAAGTCGTATTTTTTCATAAGTGATGTTATGATTTTTCATAAGTGACCTGATGCAGAAGCTTGATTGTTTCAGAAATTTTATGCCGAAGTTAGCTACATTTCTTGAAAATCCTCTCATTGAACTTGATCCAGAACAGCTAGTTGAAGAGCAATACAGGTAATTTTTACTAGGGTATTGTATGTTCTTGGAGCTTTTGGTTTTGGATGTGTGTTGATGTTCAGTGACTGAATTCAGTAATGTTGAGATTGAAATCTTGTTAAGATTTCATTCTTTTTCATGATAAGCGAGAATTATGGTATTATATCAAACACATCGCCAACACGTATTTATTACTGCTATTGTAGATTGTAATTTCTGTTCAAAAATCCTTTCAGATCGGTGAACAATGAATCATTTCAGTGGAGGGCATCACGACTTCTGATGTCTCAGAGCACGTCGTATTTCCAAGTACGTTTTCTTAATTTTTCAAGTACGTTCCTGTGAAATGATTTTAATTTATTTGCTGTTATAGACACCATCAAAGAGGAATGAAGTAACAACAAATTTGGCACCGTTTTTGGAAGAAGTAATCAAGCACACTGCAACTAACTTCCCGGTCAGTTAGTTCCTCATAACGCACAAAAAATCTTATTAGGGAATTTGTGCGGTCTTCATCTGTGTAAAAATTAGAAATGTTATGTGGTGGTTTAGAAAATCCCATCATTTCAAACTTGTGTGACTGAAAAAACTAATATTTTACAACTCTTTGGCTTTTCAGGAGTTGAAAGATCGCATTCCAGGTTTTACAGATGATAAAAAAGGTCTCAAAGGAACTATGAATAATACTAGTAGCTGTGTTTTATCGCCTCATCACAATGGGTTCTTTTCTTTTCATTATTTGCTAAATTTTTTGCTGTTAGTGGTAGTTCATTTTTCTTCCCATTCTTTAACATAGAGATACAGAGTATAAACCCAAGCTAGGGGCTAATAGTCTGTGAACTGCTTACGCGGTATTATTATTCACTGGCGTAAATTATTATTTTTGGTTTGTCTCGAGAATTTTTTTAGAGCTATAAGTGATCCTTCATTTTCATCACTGGTAAGAGTTAGTTTTCAATTTTTTAGTGAAATTTCACTTCATCTTATTCATTAATGCAAGAAATCACTGTCTGGTAAAGTGTGATAGCTAGTGTTTACTGAAGCATCCTTAATGAAGACGTTACTGCTACAGGAATGACTGATTCTTCTACTATATTTCTAGTTTGCATGATCTTTCAGAAAAGAACATACTGAACCGTCTGCTGCTCTAACTGATTCACATATTGAACAGCTGGCACCGTTACTAGCAAACAATTGGTCAACGTTAGCAGATGTAATGAATGTCAACAAAGAAAGAAATGACGCAAAAGAAGAGGTACACGGTGATGTCTTGGTATTAGTTCGACGCGTTTATTGGCCATAATTTATATTTTTTTGACAAAATTCCATGAGACTTTTTAAATTTGTTCGGAACTGTTCTTTTTATTTCAGCCAATGAAAGTAGCACAAAGAATATTAACAGCCTGGAGGCAGAAAGAGGGAAAAGCGGCAACAGTTAAACGGATTAGTAGTGTTTTATTGATGGCTGAGTTATTCAGTGAACAAGTTGGACAAGTCTTTAGAGGGGTTGGCCTTCTGTTCATTAATGCTTCTGATTTTTTGTGAGATATTTTGAGTCTTGTATAAGGGTGTGCAGTGTTTCAGAATACACCAAAAAGGATTTCGGCATGAGGGCTGTACGTTACTCAGTATGATGTTATTCATAGATGCCGTTCTGATCTCGTAACTGAAATCTTTTGTTTTTGCCAAGTTATATTCTTCTCTCTCTCCTGCTGATTGAGAGAAGTCAGGAAGATGGAATTATGGCTTCAACTCTGAACTTTGTTTACTTACCTTTTGCAGATTCAGGATTGCGCTTCTACCAAGTAATATTTCTGTAAACGTTGATCATCAAATGATTATTGTTTTCTTGGTGGTCTAAATTTGCAGTGACATATTTCGAAAGGGATGATGTTATTAATAAAATGTAATTGAGGAGGATCGTCCATACAATTATTGTGTTCTTGTGTTTTCCATTCCTGTTGTTTTCGTTATCTTCTAATCGTGCCACTATGTTTGATTTTTTATATTATGTATGTGTCGTTGTATTTTGGTTCATGAAATGAATTGAAAAAAATTAGTTTTCGTTACTGACATGATAATAATCTTAACGTGTTCTGATACACTACATATTTTCGGCGTTTTTTGAGTTTTATGATAAAAATTTTACAAATTAATGGCGCAAATTTCTAGTGGAAGGTTTTGAACAGTGGGACATAGTATCTTTCTTTGCTACTGTTATGGTAGGAATTGGCATGATTGTGAGGTTTCTTGGTTTTATAACAATGTAACAGTTATTTTCACATTTCGTTCAGCTGGAAATTAAAAGTTGTAATGTTCTAATTTTATGCATTAGTGTTTGCTGATGAAAGATGTATGTGGAGTACTTCAAAATACAAAGGCGTTGAAACATTCGTTCCATAACTAACAGCTTATTTGTTCAAATTGTTAGGAAATGTTTGCAAGGTATTGGACCCGATGATGGAATTTTGTGATGAAGTTCGAACTTCACTCAACGTTGCGTAAGTATGCGCATAGCACTATGTTTTATATAGACTTTCTCGAAAAGTTACCCTACTATCTAGTGAAGTGGTTGAAAATTATTTTTATTTGGATTTATTCTTTTATTTTAAGGACTTCCTGGCTCTGTAAAAATGGGTTTTTACGTATTATAGGTTGGTTTCGGACTTCTTTTGCCCAAATGCAGGTGGTGTGGAAACGCATATTTATTTTCTAGCAAAATGTTTGTTGCAGTTGGGACATAAAGTGATTGTAATAACTCATGCATATGGCAAACGACGTGGCATTCGATACCTTTCGAATGGACTTAAAGTAACCAGTATTATATTTTTGCTAATATATTGCTAGTGTATTTCATTTATATATTGGACTAATATACCGGATTCAGTATGTCCGTAAACTGTGGATTTGTTACTGTTTTTAGGTCTACTACCTACCGTTCATTGTTATGTACAATGGCAGTTGTCTCCCCTCAATCGTTGGTTCATTGTACTGGTTTCGAAGAATATATTTAGAAGAACATATACAGATAGTGCACGGTCATTCTGTAAGTAAAAATAATTCGTATTTCTAAATGTATGGATTTTATTAGAATTTCGAAATTACTTTAATTTAAGCATCACACGTATTCCCTTTACAGACTTTTTCAACAATGGCACACGAAGCGATGATTCATGCCTGGTGCTTGGGTTTACGCACAACGTTCACTGACCATTCTCTTTTCGGCTTCGCTGACGCATCCGCGATTCTCATGAACAAATTGGTATTGCAGTATTCACTTGTCAACGTGAATAGAGTGATTTGTGTCTCTTATACTAGGTGGGATTTTCACCATAGTCATTCAAGTTTTACAATTTTTATCTGAGCAACAATTTTCTCACGATCTACAAAACATTCAGTGTAGTATTCGTTATATTATTGCATATTTCGAGGCAAGCCATCATGTGTTGTATATTTCCACCACTAGCTTTAGCATGTATCTTCGTCCAGTGGAATATTGACATATTTGTTGTTATTGAAGCAAAGAAAATACGGTGTTGCGAAGTGGTGTTCTTGCAAGTAAAGTTGCAGTCATCCCCAATGCTATTGATACAGACCTTTTTGTGCCTGATCCATTTTTGTTTCGGAGCAGTCCAACAACAGTTATCGTTCTTTCCAGACTCGTATATCGTAAAGTAAATTCATTTTTGTAAATTAACTAATACATGTGTAAAAATATTGGATACCGATCACAGGACTAACTGTCTTTGGGTATCAATTTCTTTTCGTTTTCGTCTTCCAGAACAAGTAATATTTTTTTAATTTGAAAAGTTGGAATTACCTTTTGATTTTGGCATTTCTTAATTTGAAATTTTGAATTGCAGGGAGCTGATATCTTAATAAGAATTATACCTCGTGTTTGTTCACTTCATAATTCGGTACGATTTATTATTGGAGGTGATGGACCAAAACGGATTGACGTAGAAGAAATGCGCGAAAAGTACTGCCTGCAAGACCGAGTAATCATGCTAGGCACACTTCCTCACGATCAGGTTTTTGTGAATTGAGCTATTTTATTTCATCACAATTCAAGGAAATTTAGCTAGGGTTTCTTTTTGCTTCGTCTAACAAATTAGAGCACAACGGAAATTCCACCTTAGTGAAATTGGATTTGCTTACGGCATTAATCTTGCGATTAAATCGCCCCCATATGCAAATCGCATAGTGGATTTGCTTACGGCATTAATCTTGCGATTAAATCGCCCCCATATGCAAATCGCATAGCATATGCAAATCGCAAATCGCATAACGATTCTGCAGTAAAGTTAAATATTGCAATGCTTACTTTTCATTACATTTGAAATGATTGCAGGTGCGCGACGTTCTTGTACAAGGGCAAATATTTTTGAACACTTCACTTACAGAAGCCTTCTGCATGAGCATTGTTGAAGCTGCTTCTTGTGGGTGAAGAATTTTTTCTTGCTGTTACTCTTGTGTTATTTTATTTTGTCGTCCTTTTTCTGTATCCCTTACCATTTCTTTGTCTCTTCCTTCATAGTTTATGTTTTTAGTTTTCAGCCTCCATGTGGTTTCTACACGGGTTGGTGGAATTCCGGAAGTTCTGCCGGATAAATTTATTGTGCTAGTGGAACCAGAACCGGATAGTAAGTTGTTGAATTACTAACAAAAGTATTATTTCAGTAGTATTTCCATTCATGCCATGTCGGAAAAGCTAATGTGTTAACTTCTTTTATTAGCGATATAGGTTTATCTGACAAATTTAAGTCAAAACTTTTAATCATTAGAGCTTATATAATCATCTTATATAACTTTTAATTAATTAAAGCTTATGTATCAAAAATATAAAGTACGCAGTAAATTGGTAAGGAGTGATAAATGAATTATACAATAAGCAATATGGTCAACTAAGAAATTCCTTATCGTTTCCTTCGATAATAGTTGATAGTCGGTTTGTGATAGGTTGAGATATAAGAATTCGTTCTTCGTTGAGCTAGGAATACACTGCAGAGAAAATATCTATCTATGGGAAGAAAAGAATGTTGTAGCTAGCTGTTCATTGTTGGTGGATAGACGAAGAGGATTTTGTAGTCTCTTTGATTGTAAAAACTGACTGTGTAGGATCTTTCCCATATATATATACACCTAGGATTAGATGAAGAGCTTTAGTAAGCTCCATCGGGGAAATCGTGAAGGTATGACTGCCCTTTGAATGCAGTTCATTGTACGATCACGAATAGTATTGAGATGTCTTTGTGACATTCTCTCCATTGTTAACATATCTTCTTCATTGCCTTAATTTTACTTACGGATTTCATCATCTTGTCTGGTAGATATTGTAGAAATTTTATTTGAACGTAACGTTAATTTCGATAATCCGACACATGCAGGAGTTTCATGAACGTTGCAATTTCTTTGCACCTGGTTTAAAAAGCGTGAATAATTCAGTATTTTTTTTTTTCAAATGTAGATTTGAGTGACGCTTTGCTGAAAGTGATTCGATTGCGAGAAACTGGACAGTTGATCGCACCAGAAGAAAAACATGACGTGATCTGTCGCATGTATCGTTGGCCTGACATTGCGAAACGAACAGAAAAAGTTTATCTTTCTGCACTACAGTGCCCACAACTCTCTTGGTTTGAGGGACTTTTAAGGTAGGTATTCATAGCGGTTGCAATTCAGCAATAAGTGAACTGAATTCTTTCGCATTAACAATGGAATTTAAGATTATAGCATAAAGAAGTCTAAATTTCAGTTACTGTGCATGTGGAATTGGACTCGGTATATTATATGTTTGGGCAGCTCTATTAAATATGATCTTCATCACAATTCTGAGCTACTTTGACCCAGTTCTGGTAACTTTTTTTGAAACCACAATAATTTTCGGTTTCTTGAATATCAGTTTCTTAGATCGAATATCTCGGAAAGAACAATTGCAAATTTGGATTATTCAGTCACATTTTAAGGAAAGGCATAAAGCTTTTGAGAGAATTTTCAAATTTTTTCCTTCATACATATTTTCAGCCTACAAATAATCGCAGTGCAGAAAGCAGACCTCCTCATTCATCAATGAATAATCTTCACACTAAACGTCTACATGGCTCACATTCTTCTACAAACAATATTCGAAATAGGCATTAATCAGAAACACTTCTTAATACCCTGCATTTATCATTTGACCAACTTTTATTTATTTTTATTTTGTAAGTCTTTTGGTTTTGCCACTGTAATAATGCTTCATAAACTATTTGTAGATTTTTGTACTGACTTCGTTTTACGAATATGCAAGGCTGAGAATGCTCATAAAGTTTGTTTTCAAACCACTTCGCGAAAAAAAGAAAATTTAAGAACTTCACAACATTGTTCGGACGATATTTCATAGTGTTTTAGCTTGAAAAAATCTGTTAGTTTCGGTGCCACCGCTACTGTATGATGAAATATGTTAGATACGGCATGCTGTCATCATTCGCTTAACATTGGTTACGTAAGATCACTTATTGTAAAGTTAACAGTGGTGACAACTATATAGATGAAGGAGTTCCTAGCGAAATCCCACATTACATTATCCTAACTGATTGTTATGTTTTGACTTCTGAGAATTTTAGCAATTCTGATGAGTTTAAGAGTAAGCATGAAAATTAATGGTTCATATTACAGTGGATTGTATATGGGTGTTAGATGGGAAATATTACATTTGCAATATTATTAATGGATATAACAGAACGTTAGGAATAAATTCGTTCCAAGGAAGCTTTAAAAAACTTAATTATCTTCTCATTCGATTATTTTCCAATAAACTCGTTCTCCGTTGACTTGTTACCCCGTTACTCCGCATGTTGGATGGCTGAAGTGCTAATACTGATGCATAGTTTTGTCTCTGATTATAATGTTTTCTTCACTACGTAGCTGATCCTTGCAAATGTTTTGGACTTTTGACACATGCAAGAAGGCTCAGCTCATTTTCAGCTGTTACCACTATCTTTATCAACTGCTAAATGTGTTGTTGGATTTTGAAATTATCTTAGAAATTCATTTTTAATTCATTCGAATATCACTAAAGCCATTTTATTGCACATTTTTGAAAGGTCAAAAGAATAGCCTCTCACTGGGATGCAGTAAATGAAATGATTCTTCGTTGATTGTCTAATGCATCAAATGAAAAGATGCATCCTATAAATCAATTTCGGTGTTTCATTAGCGAAGGTGGGCAGTGTTTCTCGCTTACCAATGATGAATGGATGTTACAGTGAGCTAATGATTGTCATGATAAATTAACTATACATCTGAAAAATGAGCTGATTCATATTCCTGTTGTATATTTGGAAACGAGCTTTCTTAAAGTAACGATTTCCCTCAAGCTGTTTAATAAGTCAATTAATTTCAGAATTTCTTTACCAATTAAAAAAAGCAACCATAACATTTGGCCAAGTTGCCGACTTAAAATATTGAACATAGTTATGTTTGTATGTTTATACGCTCACATTTAAATTAGATTTAGGCTAAACTTTCGTAACTTCACGAACAGTTCCAACTAATAGAGATGTAAAAGAGCAAGTGTTGCGGACAAAGTGCCACCGTAATGTTAGTCATTAAATTGGCAGTGTATATCGTGAGGATGGTACTGATAACCTTTGCCTTGCGATTTTAAAGATTCAGGAACTGCTAAAATTAGTCATTGTTCATTTTTTAAGTCTCGCATTATTGCCAAATCAGACTTAAATGTGAGCGTTTCTATTGCTTTTTAACGTGCTCCTGTAACATGATATGTGTCCTGATCGTATACCGATTTCCATTATACGCATTTGCATATAAGTGACAACATGAATTCTTCAGGATTTCAGGAGAACGACTAGAAGTGGTCGGCACAAATGAGTGATGCCCTAAGGGCGTCTATTGCTGCAGCCGTTACTGCTGCTCGTCAATTCCAGAGTAACAATAACGAAAGTAATGCCTCTTCGTTGGATTCTCATCTGGGGGTGAATATTTTTTCTTAAAATCTTATCATAACCGACAAATTCAGTTTGGGAAAAAATTCTATATTTGATGGTTCAAATCGATATTTTCACTTATCACTCTTAAGTAATTTACTTACGAATTTTGTATGGATATTTTCGGGAAAATCGTTAATTATTTTTACCTCTCCAAGTAAAAAGTGATAAGTATTATATTAAAGTAACAATTGTTGCACTAAATTAAAAAGTCGTTAAAGACAGAGTTTTCAGCCTTATTTGTTGTTAGCTCTATAGTTATGCATTCATTTCCGCATATTCATCTTTCTGGTGTTCAAATCTTTAAAAGGTAAGATCATTTGTCTTCGCTACGTTTTTATTACTTGAGCGGAATGGTTTCAGAAATTGATCCAATTAACGAATATTTTGGATTCAGCAGCCAGATTAAGTATACATGATCGTCAGTTATGCGAGCTGCTTCGTCACTGTTCGGTGTTATTGAATGATGCTTCCACATCGGCAATTACTCGTTCCCATTTGCATCTTCTTCTTTTTAATTTAGGTTATTCGTGTTTTGATTTTTTTGTTTTTGAATTCATAGAGATTTTACTGCTTTCATTTGCTTGATATAACATTTATTTTTGTTTGATGAAGAATGCTGTGGTTTAGTACTAGGATTTATCTCATATTTGATTGCATATGTACACTTTAGGTCAGTCAGAGTATTGGTGTCTAAATTACTGAGGAGAGGAACCACCGTTAGAGAAGTGTAACCTTAAGAAAGCCAAGTTGGTTGTTGGCATTATGAGGATCACTTTTACATGTGGCATTCAAAAAATGCGTTTTAGCTTTTCACAATATCTCGGTCAGAAGGTACCTAGCAGGAGATAATTTACAAATTTGTGGATCAGTTTTTGAATGCCTGAAGCTATCACTGCGAGACCAACTTGGTCCACAGAACCTTATAGACGTATTGCGATTACTTCAGGTATGTTACATTTCTATTGGTAAGATCAATAATATATCTTCGATTTTGTTTCTAACAATGTTTTGTTTGTTTAGGTACTCACCTATGAACAAAATGTAGTGCTTGGAATATGGACGAATGATCTTATTTCATTTCTTTTAAGCGAAGTGTTAGTTTTAGCTGTGTATACATTGTCGCTATGCGAATACTCAATTTTTGACTTGTTTACTGTTTAACGCACCTCTCTTATTCATTTACCAAAGATCTTCACAACTGAAGTGTAATTTCAAATACTGTTCATTTAACTAGGTTTACTGTAGGACTTGTGATGATGAACCGGACTGGCTTCCTTATTGTATAGCCATACTATGTAATCTTGCTACTCGATCAAAATCAGCTTGTTTAAGAATACGCAAATCGGTGAGTTCATTTTCCGGTTTTGCCACAGAATAATTTAAAATTCTGCATTTTTACTAAAGAGTATGATGCCTGGATTTTACCGTTTACATCTTTCTAGATTATAATGAAGTAATGACATTATTTTAATTACTCTGATATGAAAAGCACTTACAGTCATCCTATAAGGCCTTCACCCACAAATTGCTGAAATTGTTAGCTCATGACTCGCGAACTGTGGTTATTTCATCTCTTGTACTTGTCGGTTTTTTGGAAGAAAAACTTCGTGACACGGTAACTTTGTTAAGCAATTTTTAAGACATTAAATCGAGTATTGTGCATAATTTTTGTTAGTACATAACAAAAAGTCTTATTATCTTTTGCCTTCGTTGATATTTAGAGAAAAGCTTCATGATATCACTTAATATGTGCTTATTTTACTTGTTAAGTTTCAACACTTTTTTGAAGTTGAAAAAATGGTTCGTAACAGAAAGAGCAGAATACAGTACTTGGCGTGAATTTAAATAGAAAGTCCAGCAAAGGAAAAATCAAGAAAAAATTACTTCAGATATTTTGTTCTCGAAATATACCTCAAACATTCCGCTGTGTTTTCAACGTCTTAATTCTGGGAGACCATCTGATGACGCGGCACATCGCTATTGATTTACTGAAGCGATTAATCATCAACGACTCTTCTGGTGTATGTTTTTAAAGTTCTAGTTATTGATTAAAGTAATTTTCACTTTTCCAGCATTATATTTAAACATTCCTCCGTTTCCGTCCATGGGAAAAATGTTTGGACAGAAATGTTTGTATGTAAAAATGTTTGTATAATTATTCTAAATTTGTGCTGCTACTTCATCTGTTACAGGTATCATCATTCCCAACAGTTACATCTGCAGGCAAAGACCTTGCTTCCTATTCATATTTCGAAAATACGATTCAACTTGTTGCAGGGCTTTTTGTTCAAATTGATCCTTGCACTGAAGAATCACTCAAAGTAAGTTAATCCATCAGTAGTTTAAAATTGCTCACATTCTTGTGTCTTTTATAGAATTTTTGAGAATGTAGTTTGTGAAAGTGTTTGTAGGTATACGATTTATTTTTGTCATTTTGTTCGATAGTACAATTACGATCAGCAACTACTCGAGCTGTTTTGCGTTGCTCATCATGCAAAGAAAGATTAACAACGCCAGTTCTAGCTATTTACAACGCATCTATTTTGTCCTTCAGTGAAGCCATTCAGCCCGATATCCCCTTGAAGGCTATGCGTCTTCTCATTTATCTGCTGCAGGTACAAAAAAAAATATTGAAACCTTACGCATTTTGATATTTTCTATTTTGAAATTAACCAGTCATGTCAACAAAACCTTAATGGAGACGACTGAATGAAACGTTAGGCTTTATTATTTAAGGCTTATATGCTTTAGTTTCCCCAAGTACTTAAAGGTTTCTCCCGTACTCTTGTCGGTGGATGGAGTATTGATACTGGATTCATTTATAAAAAATAGAACTCATATAAATTAAATAAAACAAATAAGTTCAGAAATTGGCGTTTTTGATTTACATCCTATATGATTTTCATATTATTGAGGTTGATCGTGATATTCCTACCTATTTATATCCGATAATCTTAAAAAAAATTTTTACGCAGGAACTGGTCGAAAACGACGGCCATGTACAGGATGTTTTGCCCGCTGAACATATTTTACGGCTTATTGAAAATACCACAAAAACAGCGATTGAAACAGTCAGCAACATTGTGAAATTTCAGTGTCAAAGAATAACTGAGGGGTTACATCTCGCCGAAAGTAGTTACTTACGATTTGCTTACTGTACCATAAAGAAAATGTATTTTATTTAGATGTTGTGGACAATTTTGTTTCAGTCTTTTTTTTTTTTTTGTTAGCGGTTTTAAATGATGATGAAATAAGAATTCCTTTACTGGAAGTTGTCACTGCCCCGCTTTGTTCTCACATCATCGAATCACAAATGATCTCAAATACTGTTGTTACCTGTGTAGGACAATCTGCAATGCAGTATGGTGGATCTTTACCGGAATGGTGGTGAGTTTTCTGTTTTCGTCCTACTTTTTTTCGGATCAGTTCTATTCACTTATTAACAAAATGTCGTAATATCTTTGTCCTGTCGTAATATCTTTGAAGAATAGTATTTTTTTTTTTAATGTATGTTTGTCTAATGGTTCCTTTATGTTCTCCATTATTTCAATGTATAATTGTGTTACAGTATCGATAGCGTAGCAGTCGTTTTGAAACTGCTGAGAGTTCTGGCCGTACTAAAGGATTATTCAAAGTCGCACGAAGATTTGTATTGGAAAATACTAAAGGTCATCAACTGGTTAATTTGACAGTTGAGTACTTTGTTTTGGGGTATATGTTTATCGTCTGTTTTTCAGGATAACCGCCTAGTGCCATTCATTGCATATGCAGTCGCTGATGGTGGTATCGACCTGACACATGAAGCTTTACTTCTTTTCACACACTGTGTACAAAGTTACACTTTTCCCACGAAATGGTATACTTTCAATATTGGTTTTATGCTCAATTCATCTTAATTAATTATTTTGAGGTTGGGAGATTTGATAGCAAGCTGTCGTAGAGAAAAGGCTATGACAACTAATATAGCAAGGAACTGCTTATCCTGGTAAGCTTTTTTATTTCTTCCTTCGACATTTACTTCTTTTAAGTGATTAATAATCGTCATTAGTGTTAGATTACTTTGGATAAATAGGAAATCATTGCAAATATATTTGTTGCTCATCTTTACATGCTCCTTTACATCGTTCTAGCGGCTCCTCCGAAATTAGTTTAAATGGTGATGCTGATGGTTTCTCAACGGATGGTAAGAAAATACCCAGTGATTGTTTGGCAAATAAAAGTGAAACTACAAAACAAGTCACCGATCTATCAGATAAATTACGGCGAAGGAATGACGTTAGTTTGAAATCGCTTATTTCCTTAGCTTTGCAATATTCTAAACAGTTTGTGTGAAGCAATGCAGTGCGCGGTATGATCCTGAATATCCATAATATTCGTTTCCTTCTATGCCATTATATAAGTAAGCCCGACAATGAACCGAGTTTCCAGCTCAAAGATTCTCGAGTGTCGCAGTTATTAAGTATGTATGAAACGGAAGTACAAGCTTTGAAGGTACGTTTAAATTTCTTGGATCTCAACTGGTTCAGCCGTTTATTCGGATAAAACTCATAATCCACTCTCCTCTATCCTTTAGTTTATATTCTATTCTAATCAAGGTGCTATTTCAATTTTGAACTTGATTCAACCTGAAATCATATGCAGTGCTCAATTTTCTTGTTTATAAAACTTAAATTTCCAAGGGTCCCAGTCATGACAACTGCAGTATGCATTCTGGAAAATGGATTTTAATACCTGAACAGAAAAAACCGATGAAGCTTCCCAATAGATTGTTTTTGTTAATTCGAATCGTTGCTTTTTTTTTCGCTTGTTGCTACGCTAAGCGCACTATATATTTTAGATTCGAGAAAGGGAATTAGAGGAAATGGTAGCGAAGATGGAAGATTTACTGCGTCGTAATGAACACCTTCAAAATTTGCGTGACAAGGAAGACAGTGATAATGAGGTGAACGGTTTAGGCTTTGTTTAATTTCCGAAAAGAACTTGACTTCCAATTTCATAGTTCTTACAGATGATAAATCTTCAAAAATCGGTTGCTGACTGCGAAAAAAAGATCGCAGATTTGAACGCGCTCCTAACTTCTCTCTACTCAGAAAAGAAAGAAACGGAAGAAATGTGTGAGGCTTATAAAAAAATGGTGGAGGATAAAAAGATAGAAGTAGCTATGCTCAGTGATCAGTAAGCTCATTTAAAGTTTAAGTAGATCGCACAACGTTTTCATATTCGCAATATCCAGGACTTAAAAATTCTGAAGTCAATGTAGCAATTAACACTTTTCGATTTTATGACATTTTAAATTTGTTTCGTAAATGCGAACTTTCGTCGAATTCATAAGAATCAAAGATGGAACTCAAAGTGATAGATCGAAAACCGTTTTGTTTTGTTGGTTTTCAATCTGTCACTTTCATCTATGATTCATATGATGTTCGCTGGTCTCTTAATTTGTCATAATTTTTTTCTATTTTCAGACTTGAAAAAATGATGCAAGAAAAAAATATTTTACAAGAAGAAAATAGAAGTGAAAGAGAGCTTGCTACACTAACGAAGAGTCGTTACGACGAACTGAGGAAAAAATTTGCCCAGTTAGCTGTATTTGATGCAAATTTAATGCTTACTAAGACTGGCGAATTTTTGTCGACATTTGAATCGAATCAAATTTTTAAAGGAATTAAAAAAGAAGAAGAAATAAAACAATATACGGTACTCTGTTGAATTTTATAAAGCTGTTATATTTCCAGTGCATCAGATGCGTTGATTGATAAGGACAAAGAATGTATTCAACTTGCCGATGAATTTAAAGTCTTGGAGCTAAATCTGATAGCTAAAAAAGCCGAAAATTGCGGTTCATATTTTTCACTTCAGAAAATGTAGATTACACATATTGTAGAAATTCGGGCAACGAATGACAGCAGTATTCACATTTAGATTTTAGATGTACTTTGGTTCTTTCTTTTAGCTGATTCGTTAGAGTTCTTTGTAAAGATATGCCCTGGAGAAGTTCCGTGCTTTGCTTGTAAGTACTGTTGTAAGTATCGATTTCATTAATTCATTAATTTCATTCATTATAAACAGTCTGATTCAGACTTAAAACTTAGTACACTTGCTTTGCAGAGATGGCTGAAAATTTGAAGTATGCACAGAGAAAATTGGAGGAAATAACGAATGCTAAAGACTCTGAAGTGGGACGTTTGCAAAATCTGGTAATCACCTTAAAATCTTGTCTCCTACTTATCCTTTTGCTATTTCACACCACTTGAATCTACGTTCTGATCCCAAGATAAAGAATTTTCCGTCCCACATATGCAAGTGTTTATTTCCTTTGTGCGTTTTAGCTGGATGAGAAAGGTGAAGAAATTGGACGTCTCAACAAGGAGTTACAAAAGGTTTTGAAGTTCAAAGACCAGATGATGCAGATGATGAATGAGATTTAAATTGCAAAACTTTAATGCTGGTTTTCATGTTCACACAACGTAGAGGCACAGAATTTTCAACTTTTTTTACATTAGTTCCTTCCCCAATTTTCTATGGGTATTGATATTTTCGTTGTTTTGGTTTGCTCTAGCTCAGGAAATGTGTATTTCAGTGGTGTGACAGAGTGACGCACTTTTAATCACCTTTTAGTAGAGCATTTAAAAGCATTTAAATAGGTCATTGAGAAACACACACAACACACATACACGTACACACACACAATGCGACCATGACTAAGCGTTTTGCAACCTGAAATGCAGCACTTTCGTGCTGACTCAGTGGCGAAGCAAGAAGTGAAATAAATCCAGTGAGTTAGCTTGATTCAATGATTAAAGAAATTCAAGAGAAAACATTTTGAAACAAAATCGATTTTGTAACAACAGCTTAGCTTTAAAATATCCATTTCACTATTATTTTTCATTCACCATTGTAAAGTTATTTTAATGTTTTCAGTTTTACATTTAAATTTCTTTGTAGCAGGTAGTTTTTCAGATGTAAATTGATTGGGATGTATAGTTCGCTGGCTTCTTGTATAATGCAAAGTGCATTTTCTATAAAATGTGCCTATTTAGCGATCAAATTTCATTATGTACCGGATTTTAATTCCGGGAGTTCCATGATGAGGTGCTTTTTTATATAAATGTGGAAAGTTTGAAAAAAATTGTGCAGAACAGATTTTTGACTAGGGATTTTCGCTTTATGGCAACAGACCGCTTTATTGAGGTGTTGGAGATTTGTAACGATTTCTCAACCAAATAATTGTCGAGGCCTTACGTGGAATGAATTAAGGAGTATTAATTGGAGAATGTTCTCGAAAAAGAAAGTAAAGTTAATGAATGTTATTGCGATTAGGTTTATTTGAGATATGAACATTCGGTAAGGGCTACCGAGATTCATAGGTAATACAATTAATAGGTGACGTGAGTGCTCAGAACATTAGCCTAGGTCCATAATATTTAATTCATCCGTCAATTGAGCTGGAGGTAATACGCAGCATTCAATCTTTTTCATTGCCTGGTTCATGCTGCTTGCGGATTTCGAAATTTTGTCCCTGCATAAACGGCTGATTTGCCAAGCTCCTCCTCAATGCGGAGTATTTGATTGTATTTCGCTAGACGTTCAGAGCGGCATGGTGCTCCAGCTTTTATCTGCAGTCTTCATATTTATTTCTGCAACTCTTGCTTACAAAATATGAGAAAAAACTTGAGGATATGCAACATATGCTTCTTTGGGAAGGCTGAATCATATTTGTAATCGACACGCAGTTGCGCCATAACCTATTTTTAAGTTTAATACTTTTTGTTTTTCAACTAAATGATTATGAAGGCCATACCTAGAAGATAATGCAAAAAATAAAAAAGGCATAGGAACCTGTCCCGTGGCAAGGCCAACAACGAGATCAGCAATGAATGTGTCCTCAGTTTCACCTGATCGATGCGAAACCATCACGCCCCAACCGTTCTTACGTGCTAAATTTGCTGCTTCAATAGACTCGGTTACAGTTCCAATTTGATTCACCTGAATTTTACAGGGAAAAAAATATAAAGTTGCGGTGAGGACCATGTTTTGCTTGAGGGTTTTTCTGAAATAAATTTTTGAGACAAAATGCAAACCTTCAACAATAAGCAATTGCAAGCTTTGTTCCTCACAGCCATCTCAATTCGTTTGGGATTGGTCACAGTCAGGTCATCACCAACAATCTGAATGTCAACAGAAGACAGTCCTTTCGTCCAGCTATTCCAGTCATCTTGTTCGAACCAGTCTTCGATTGACACAATTGGATAATCCTCAATTTGAAGATTGCAAAGTTTAAGTTCATTTCGGCAAAGACTTCCTTATGCCCCACAATTGAATATGCAAGGAAAAAAAACATAAAAAAGGGAAGTGAACCTTGATAAATGATTTGTACAACCCTAACATTTCTTCACCAGTTTTCCATTTGCTTTGGTCCGATTTCGGATTTTTAAAGTCCAAGTCGTACTTTTTAGCCGAGTCCTACAATTTCATTACGATAAAGGTCTTGATAAAAATACACCTGTGCCCGCGATATATTCTCCTTCATTAGCGTTGTCGGAACCGTACAACATAGCTGAATGTGCTAAATTCGATTTTTCGGCGTGCATTCTAGAGTGTGAGCTTTTTCCACTTCCTGATCAGATGAAATAGAAAGGGAAAAAGATGGAATATAGTCTGTCCATTAACAGATAAGAGTCTATCCATTTCATAAATGAAGCAGACTCATATCTACTACCTTTTTGAATGTGCTAAATTCCCTTTTGATTTTTTCTGGTTTTTTCATTATAGTTTTGATAAGTGACATATACGCGCACCTTGTAATACTCTGAAGCTGCGCAATCCATCGCGATAACAACTTTTCCTTCATATCCCGCAGCAGCAATTGCTGATTTCAGCAAATCGAGACCTTCCTTGTTGTCTTGAATGTTTGGAGCGAACCCACCTTCGTCACCCACTGCAGTAGCATCCAAGCCGTATCGCTTTTTGATTTCTGCCTGTTTCATTTATCATCAATGTCGACAAAAAAGCCGATTTGTTCATACCAGATAGAAAGAAGGAGTAATTAAACAAAAGTAACCAAACAAAAAACAGGTTAGCGAGGAAGTAAAAGAAGAAGGACACCTTCAGGTGATGATAAACTTCGGAGCCCATGCGCATTGCTTCAGCGAAGGAGGATGCTCCAACGGGCATAATCATGAATTCCTGGCATTGAAGATGTATTACGGTGATGGAAATGATCTTTGTTTTCTTGACGTTTCAATAACTGCATATTTAGCAATCAGCCTCAATAAACAACAAGCCTAACCTGCATAGCAAGTTTATTGCCGGCATGTGAGCCACCGTTGATAACATTCATCGCAGGTACCGGTAGAACAACTTCCTTCATACCTGCTAGTTCAGCAATATATTTGTATAGCGGCATACACTTATGAGCAGCACCAGCCTTGCATGCTGCTAGCGAAACACCCAAAAGTGCATTAGCTCCAAATTTTGCTAAAATAATTTTCTATTCCCACCTTATCAAAAAATTTGCACTAATTTGCAACTTCAGTTTAATCCTTCGATGCTAATGAAATGCCAAAAGCAGAGAGTCTGTGTGCTTGAAATTTTGATTTACTATTTTGATTTTGCTTGAAATTTTGCTCCATCACGGATGATCAACCTTCTCTTGGTGTCAGTCCATCTCAAAGATGACCTTCATGTCCAATAGATTTCGACAAAACGCAATTTGTTTATTCACGAATTTTTCTTTGCTGAAAAGATAGAATTGCTTACATTTGTTCTCGGTTCCATCAAGTTGGAGAAGGAATTGGTCGATTTCCTTTTGCTGGGTCGGATCCATTTTCTTCAAATTGTTAATATTATGTAATCGAAACCATTCCGTTTTTAAGCAACTTGCCCATTCTGTTTTTAAGCAACTTGCAACAAGAACAATCAGGTGAAGTGGACTTAATTTACTTTAGAAATCAGTACTGGCGCGATTTGCTCATTGATATTTTTGACCGCTTTTAGGACTCCTTTTCCATGATGAACACCCTTATCCTTATCACGAAGTTCGAGTGCCTCATGCACACCTGTTGATGCACCACTTGGCACCGCTGCTCGAAACATACCTAGAAGTTGACGGGAATCGTTCACGAATATAACAGAAATTAATAAAATAGTCAAGATGACCAGCTGAGATGGACGAGAAGCTGGCTAACCTTTCTCTGTAGCAAGATCAACTTCTACAGTTGGATTGCCCCGAGAATCGTAGATGTAACGGGCATGAATGGCAGTGATTGGCATTATTAATCGTAACTGACACAAGTTTCTGCAAAAACCNCCATACAATCACCATAGGACAGTGAATTAACAAGCTAAAGATGCTGGAAGAAACGACGTTGGT